AGACATTGTGCTAGACAGCCAAAAAAAAGGAGGGAAAAAAGGAAAAAAGTCTGATAGAACTTTTCTTTGAAAAACTTCTATTGTAAATAAGGTCTCATGCTCATTTGAATACCAAATAATTAACCTCCCTAATAACAAATATTTCATCTGAAGTTTCTGAGCTTCAGTTATACTTCGTGCAATCAAAGGTGACACATAAGTCACACACCAAAAAAGAATGGACTGGAATACATGTGGAGAGTTGGTGTCCAGAACTCCATAAATCTGTATCTTCAGAAATGTGTGTTAAAAATGATTTATCTATCCAAATGCACTGGAGTTTTGGTTTTTTTTTTTTCATTTCTGATTTGTTAATCATTTGCCACTGTGTCATGTTGTGATGCTGACAACTCTTGGTCTCCTCCTATTCTAAAGTTAGATTTCGGGGGAAAGAGAAACACTCGGCCTGTGTGTAACCACAGCTGTCATTGTATATGAAACACTGAAATTCCTCCATGATTGAAGCACCAACCCACATACAGACGTTATGTTTAAAAAGCCTCTCCAATGAAGGTAGGAGGAGGCAGAAGAGGAGCAGTGACCTCATGTGACTTCTCAGTGACAACATTAGGGTGTGTGTCTAAGACAACTCAGCTCTTTTTTGTTGTTACAAAAAGTATCTCTTTTCTGAATAGCAGCTCGAATCAGGACACATCCGTTTAAATCACAAAACAATAAATTTGACAGTTTCAGCAGAAAGAATCCATGTCTGTCCACAATCAGACTTTGGTAGTGTAACATGTTCCATTCATCATTATTAGGACGCTGAGTCAGAGAAGGAGTCACCAACCCATAAAGGCGATGATTTGTGCTAAACAGAACTCAGTTAATTAACATGTGCCAGCTGTGGTTACAACAGAGTCAGGCTTTGAAACAATTGATGAAAAATGCTGTAACATTGACTCAATTGAGAAAAACAACAGTTTTACATGTCAGAAAAACATCATTACAATCATCTCCCGTGATGTTATACCAATGTCTTTTGACCTTTTTGACCTCATTTGTAATTCCACTGATGGCTTGAATTCAAAACTTGAAAAACCTGGGGGCTCCACTTTCAGTTTTCATCGGTGACATTGGATGATTAATTGGATTTGAAAGGTGAGGGTTTTACTCAAGACCTGAAGCAAAATATTTTAACGACATTAAACAACACTATATAAATGGTATATTTACCACTGGTTAAAAAACTTCTTTGACCCAGAAACACCCTGACAATTTGCAAAATAAAGAGAAAATACTGGCGGACGGCAGGAAAAAAAACACCTCTGGGGTTAATTTAACACTAGTTTAAAAAAGAAATCACCACAAAACTTACTGATCATTTGCAAAATAAAGCGAAATTACTGCAGAAGAAAATAAAATATACAGTTTTAATAGCTCATAAAAATGACTGAGGGAATATCGTTTCTTTGATTCCACTGTTATTTATTTAGTATGTACTTCCATACTGAAGGCTTTAACTAAATGTCATATATGTAAGTATATTAATAGACAACAAAAAAACAACATGAGACCATACATTTTGTTTTAATTAACCAGCAGATGGAAACAGAAAAAGAAAAAAAAGAGAAGGCAGTAACTCCTCTATTTTTTTTTTATATCTATAACAAGCAGCCCATCTGTTAGACAGATGAAGAAAACCCCACAGTAAAACAAGTACGACGAAAATTTCATTCATATTGTTCATGTCTGCTCTCTCTAACCTCAACATGTAACGCATTGTTTTGCTGCAGGGGTGACTCTGTTCGTGGCTCTTTATGACTACGAGGCTCGGACTGAGGATGACCTCAGCTTCAGGAAGGGGGAGAGGTTCCAGATCCTCAACAGCACGTAAGTGTGAAAGTATCTGGGTGACACCACCATGAGGGTGTCGCCGATGCTTTTCCCTCATTCCCATGTGTTTTTATTTGTCGTGAATGTCTGAGCCCTGAGTGTATTAATAATAATGGTATTCATTTTTTACTGACACACACGCGAGTCGTCTGGGATTTTTTTCTAAAGCTTTAGGTTCAAATTTAGGTTTTAATCATAGTTTGAAGGTTTGATATAGAAATGGTAAAAGCAGTGACATGGTACTCAGGTTCCGGACCCAGACTCCAACACTGGTGAGTTAGACATCGACCTATTGACAGCACGCAGATGGGACTTTTTGCCATCTCTGCATTTATGATATGTATCTGTGAAACACTACAGGGAATAACACAGGAAGTTGGTGCGTTTTAATGCTTTCTTAATTAACCACAGCACTGCCTGTCATGGCATTCAAACCAGCAATCCTTTAACCACAAGCCCTGTCCTGTAACCATTAGGCCACAAGCTGCCCACAGTCAATAATCACACTGTATATACAGTCACTGGCCATTTCATTAGGTACAGCTGGTCAACTGCCTGACAGCACACATCTCTAAACAGGGCATCCCGCGTTAAGATATGGTATCATGGTCATGGTTGTTGGTGCTGGTCACACCCTCCTCCCCCACACAAAACACAACTACCTCCAGGGTAAACAGTGCATGGTCTAAAAAATACAGAGTTGCCCAGTGATATGTATTTCAATCTCTTGTTGATAAGGTTAAAACGCTTGTTTTAAAAGTGAGAAAAATCTGAAGTCAAATCCCTACGCATTAAAACACACGTCTGTAGAAGAGCATCTCTGAAAGCACGACACGTCCACACTCAGCAGACCAGCACCACAGAACAGGAAACTGAAGCAACAGTGTGCACAGACCAACCAACGTCGGCCCATGTTGGTGCGTCAGTGCTGTCAGTACAGTCAGTACAGTCAGTACAGTCATCACAACATAAAGCCAGGGTTTTAGGTTTACCCATTAAAGTGGCCATTAAGTGTTGCTACAAAAAATGCGAGTGAAGTTTGTGCTTTGCTGTGATTTCTATGATCACTTTTGCATTCATGTATTATAAATAGATAATGATCCTAACCTACCTCAATTTGTGGTCTTCTTCCTCCTCCTTCTCCTCCTCTTCGTCCACCTCAGTGAGGGAGACTGGTGGGAGGCTCGTTCCCTCACTACAGGTGGAACTGGTTACATTCCCAGCAATTACGTAGCTCCGGTGGATTCCATCCAAGCTGAAGAGTGAGTGAAACGTTCTCTGGTGATCACACTCCTGAGCAGGCAACTATAGAGACACACAGACAAACACAGTGTCAGAAATATTCAAATGTCCACCTGTTGCCTGATTGTTGACTATGGCTATGACATGGTGTTACATACTGGCAAAATGCCTTGTAGTTTGATTTTGTGGTGTGTGTTTTTTTTCTGGCTGCAGCTGGTATTTTGGTAAATTAGGCAGAAAGGATGCAGAGAGGCAGCTGCTCTCCAACGGCAACGCCAGAGGAACTTTCCTCATCCGCGAGAGTGAAACAACCAAAGGTAGTGAACCATTGGATTCAAGCAGTTTACAGTGTACACACACACACACACACACACACACACACACACCAATGTTTATTAATGATTCAAATTTACATTTCTAGAAACTCCAGATACTCGGATTACCAAAGTTCACTTTTAAAATAAAATTACCATTATATTTTCACTTGCTCCACATTCACTGGCCCCATTTTTTTTTTTTTTTGCTATTTATATCCTCGTCAAGAAAACATGACACATATTCCACAGATAGATTTGAGCCTCAGATAATAAAAAAAATGTTTAGTTCCAAGATTAACATTACATGTATTTTTCATTTAAAAGTTTTTAAAAAAGGAAATGGTAAAAAATATGGAAAAGATGTTTGATCCTTATTCCCAAATTTGTACTTAAACAAAATGTATATTTATGTGTATATATATATATATGTGTGTGTGTGTGTGTGTGTGTGTGTGTGTGTATATATATATATATATATATATAAATATAAGAAAATGTGAAGAAGTCATTGCCAAACCATTTTTCCTCGGGGCCCTAATTTCTTACCCAAAGGTTGTGGTTTAAAAACAACTTGCATTTGTTTTGTTACAGTTAAATACGTATCATGTTAATATTATTCTTTCTTTTTTTCTGTAATGATTATTATCTTCTTTTTTTTTGTAATACTCCTCTCTCGTGCCCTCGTCAGGGGCCTACTCCCTCTCCATCCAGGACTGGGACGACATTAAGGGCGACCACGTCAAACACTATAAGATCCGTAAACTGGACAGCGGAGGCTACTACATCACCACCAGGGCCCAGTTTGAAACCCTGCAGCAGCTCGTTCAGCACTACTCTGGTGAGTTCCTCGTTACTGCAGTATTCTTCTACTCCTACTCTTTAAGTCTCACACCACTCATTTGGTTTCATGTGTGATGATTCCAGCCAGGGCTGCGGGGCTGTGCTGCCGCCTGATCGTGCCGTGCCACAAAGGCATGCCTCGTTTGACCGACCTGTCCGTCAAAACCAAAGACGTGTGGGAGATCCCGCGAGAGTCTCTGCAGCTCATCAAACGTCTGGGGAACGGCCAGTTTGGGGAGGTCTGGATGGGTGTGTACCTTTTCTTTTCCTCTGGCAGCAGAGAGGAAGTGGCCAGCAGCTGTGAGCAGCGCTGGAAAACATTCTGCATGTGTTGGATCATTATGGAGTGTGAATGTCCAGCTGATGGGAGTGTTTGTGTTGGTAGTGATTACACTGAAGAGTCCTGACATGTTTTTGCTGGATTTGACTCTGTGTGATGTCACTGTCCATTTTGACCCAATCAGGGTTGTCGTTTTTTTAATCACAGCAGTCAAAACACTTGAGAAAATGTTGACGTCTGAAAGACTTTGTAACATTCTTTCACTCGGTCCAAGTCCACATCTGGCAGCAGAAGGTTGCATCTGCCGCCACATTCTTCGAGATCTAAACATTTGGTTTCGTGCCACTAACACGGATGATGCTGAGGATTTCACTTGAATGTGTTTTGGTTTTTCTTTCTTACACATCTTCAGTATGGAGACAATTTTATAGTCATCCAGACCAAAGCCGAGGTCCCACAAACATGCCAACGCTGTCAGCATCCACAGTACACAGTATATATAGAGACGTCACTTTGTTTCTCTGTGCACATAAATTATGGGAGTTTAAACAAATGGGTGGAGTAAAATGGGATAATGACATGTTTTTATTTTAGATGGATTCCTTGTCGTAGTTAAGATTCCTTGTTGTTATACATTGTCCACGAGTTTCTTTCTACTGTATAGAACCAAAAAACGAATTCCCTAGAACAGTGGTTCTCAAACGCTTTATACTCTGTACCACCTGAGAAAACATTGATCTCTCCGAGTACCACCATGATGACCAACATTAGAATATAGCAGCGTAGGCCTTCCCTATCAGCTTCCACCACAGGAGAGATGTTTATACATGTTTAGAAAGATGTTTATGTTTAAATGTTGTATTAATTGTGCATGGGATGTTTCAGATTTATTCTTTATATACTTGAAAATGTAAATGTGAAAATATGAATTTTCCCCGCAAACCACTAGAGAGCACTCATGTACCACTGGTGGTACATGTACCACAGTTTGAGAACCACAGCCCTAGAACCATTAGGCAGGAACTGGCTGCCTGAAAAACAGTAACAAATACAGAAATAGTCCAAATGTTGTGAAAGAATTGGCCGTTGGTCCAGAACTAAAACTATGTTTTTGTGGCCGACGGTGACAAATGTTGTTTTTAATGAGCACTAGAGACACTGAAGTACACAGACTGGGTTGTAGGCCCAAAGACTCCTGAACTACTTGGACTGTTGTAAGTCCTGATACTCTGTTTATAAAAAAAGAGAAACATTTATGTCAAAAACTGCTGTTTGTAAAGTATTTCACACACCAGAATAATCATGTGCATATTCTTCTTAGCGTTTTTACTCTGCGGATCTTGTTTTAGTTAAATCCATCTACAGGACACTAATGACCGCAGCGTTTGATTGAACACATCTTTTTGTATCATATTTTTAGCGCATCAGTATTTTCAGAGGAACCCCCCCCCCCCCCCCTTAAAAAACACGTCAGTAATTGTAAACACTCATCTATGAACTGTGTTGCTGTCTCTTCAGGGACGTGGAACGGCACCACCAAGGTGGCGGTAAAGACTCTGAAGCCTGGCACCATGTCGCCCGAGTCTTTCCTGGAGGAAGCTCAGATCATGAAGAAGCTGCGACATGATAAACTGGTGCAGCTGTACGCCGTGGTGTCTGAAGAACCCATCTACATCGTCACCGAGTACATGAGCAAAGGTAGGAGCCCTTTTAAAGTGAGGCTATGAATATTACATACGGAAGTGTGTACATTATTTATACATCTGTATGGACAGGACGGTATGTGTCCTACTTCACCACACGGTTCTTCTGCCCCGCGGTGATGTACTGTGTCCATTAAGGTGGCATGGTATATAATGTCAAATTTACAGTCATGGCAAGACCAACATGCACCGTGGACATGAGAGGAATGCTTAGTCCACATGAATGTCCTAAGTATTTGACTGCAGCGTATATTGATGGACAGTTGGTCAGATAGATGGTGATCTGCTGACCTACAGGAAATGACTGATGTATGTAAGAAACCAAAGGGGAGGGGGGTCAGGGGGGGCGTATGGAGATGGAGGGCAGCTGGGGGGAGGGGACGTATGGAGACGGAGGGCAGCAGAATGAGCAGAGATGATGTAGATGGAGAATCAGCATGAGCAGAGATGATGTAGATGGAGAATAGAAGATGTTATCTTATTTTAATGACAAACAGAGACTATGTGGAGCTGTTTTATGTTTATTTTCAACAAAAATAAACATTTAAACTAAAAAGTTTTTAAGAGGTAAAAAAAAAAGATCATTTCCAAGTCCAGTTGGCTCTTTGGATTGCCTTTAGTTTCCTTTACATCATCTAACCCTGGGGTCCTGCTGATTTCTCATGTGCCTTCTGAGCCATTCCAATGACAACACAAGATAATCACATGCTTTTAATTTTTTAGTGTTGACGTATAAATGATGACAACAGTTTGGAGGGAAAGTGAAAAAACTCAAGACCGTGTATAATGTTTTTAATTTAAGTTAGAATAAGTTGTCAAAACACCATGCTCTCTGGGACACTTCAACTATTTATTTTATACTGATGAGATTAACAAAATAACATTTTCTCATATCGTCTGTTTTCCTAACACCGTGTCGCTCCCTTGTCAACGAGGTTTGACAATACAGGAAAGATTAGGCTCAGAAACAATGAAGTCTGTGGTTTCCACAGTGATTACTAACAAACAAAAGCCTGAGCCAAGTGTGACGTGTGGCAGGAGTCCCAGAATCCATGTCACGTTCACTGAAACATCTTGTTTCTGTTTTAATCCACACTGGAGCCGGGACACTGTTAAACCACAGATTTTGTCATTTTAATTGTTTTTTTTTTCTTTTCCTCATTTTTAGGGAGCTTGCTTGATTTTCTGAAAGACGGAGAAGGACGAGGTCTGAAGCTGCCAAATCTCGTGGACATGGCAGCACAGGTACACTCCCAAAAGTATTCAAGAAAATGAGTGATTCACCTTAGATGAATCCATATTTTTATTACTATTATAAATAATAATATTCATGTGCAGTAAACAATTTGACTAATAAAATAATAATAATATTCACGTGCAGTAAACAATTTGACTAATAAAATTATTTTACACCTTCACTAAATCATCTATAAAACAATAACAATGAAGAACTGCTTAGTTTTGTTATGTGCATATTCAGTTTTGCTGAAAACAGATTTAATTGCGTAAATCACTTTATTGTTATTATATTGTTTTATAGGTGGCTGCAGGCATGGCGTATATAGAGAGGATGAACTACATCCACAGAGATCTGCGCTCTGCAAACATTTTAGTGGGAGACAGTCTGGTGTGTAAGATTGCTGACTTTGGTTTGGCCAGACTCATCGAGGACAATGAATATACAGCAAGACAAGGTAGGAAAATCAAATAAAGATACAACAGCTTTGTGCCATTTTAAAGTTTGCCAAAAAATAATATTATTATATTTATTCTTTTTAGACATTTTCCCTATATTCAGCATGGTATTAAATCAGCAGAAGCCTGGGGCAAATTGACCTTAATATATAAAAATGTTGATATTAAGCTAAAGTAGCTGCAGTTAATGCAGTTAATAAGTAGCAAAGTAAATAGCTGAGTAGAAATGTCCAGCTAGCACTAATATACTACACATAGCACTCAAATTAGCTGTCACAGCAGTTAGCTTTAAGGTTTGAAGACAAAAGAAAGCTAAGGTAAGCTAAATAAAATAAGCACAATGACACAGAAAACAGAGGTTGAGAAAGCTAATATAGCTTATAGCTTAAAATAAATATGTTTCTCAAAAATACAACTAACCCGTTTTTACCCCTACTGAAATATGTTAGCCTTGGGCTAGAGATGTTGCTACTAACCTGATGGAGGAGAGCAAAACAGCAACTGCTATTGTTTCTCAAATATACAACTAACCCGTTTTTACCCCTACTAAAACAATACAAAACCTAACTTAGTGATAGCTAAAGTGAGCCCAGATGGGTCAAGTTTAGCCAAAAGAAACCCTGTCCAAAGTTGATAATAACAATAGACTGGACCCACATGTCTAAACAAAAACAGCTTTAGCACGGCAACTGCTGGATATCAACATAAAATCTCAAAGATTCAGCTTAATAGGTAACTGAACTCCAAGACAAATAAAGTCAAGCTACATAAGCTAAATTTCACCATGACAAAACTTTTGGTACTTTTTTTTAAGAAGTTACCAAAAGAAAGTTAACCAGGAAAACTAATGTTGCTAATGCTCCAAATAGAGTCAGTAAACAAGGGTTTAAAGCAAAGCAGCTTAGCTTCTGGTTTAGCCTGAGGAAAAATGTGTATTTTAATGCCATACTAATCCAGTAGTCAGGGCACTAACATGCCTTATATGGTCATTTCAATGTGGAATGGAAAAAAGAGGTAACAATTTCACTTCATTGCCTTATTGTTATATTTTTAATTTAGTCACACCATTACTGCAGTAGGTTGTCATTTTGGTAATGTACCATAGTGAGTCACTTTAAGAACAAGGTAAATATTTATACAAAAGAGGCTAGAAAGTACTACATTTTTACTTTGCAAACAACGACAACAGAAGAGGGGAAAAAATACAAATTACAGCGACATCCCGAAAACCTCAGCATTCTCTTAAAACCTCAGTAGAATGGTTGGACTGGCACATGACTTATTCCATTTAGCTGATTCCATAACACTCTCACACACACACACACTCACACACACACACACAAACACAGGCTTTTGTGTTTCGTGAGCGCTTCATCATGCGTGGACATGATGCATTCCCTAGCCCCTTACCCTCACCATACCAACTCCAAATACTATATACCTAAGTCTAAACTTAAGGGCAGTTCAGAATTACATTTTGTATCCTTAAATACCCAAAATGTGCCCAACAACAGAAGTATTTTTCACCCAAAAGGAAAAAAGTCCCTACAAGTACAGCCGCACCAGGATTATACACACACCTACACAGGGTGGTAATTTCCAGAGTAAGTAGAGTATTGGGCAGGAATGTGTGCTGTTGACACTGTTGGAAAACTGAAGTACATGTGGTGGAACCACGGCACAAAAACAACAGAATAACACATTCACACTAAAGGCACGTCGAGGATTTACGACGGGAGACCGCGGTGTTCACAAAAATCAATATGTCACTGAGTGTTCAGTCGGAAGGAAGTGACCCCCACACTGAATCACAGTGGCGTTTCTCTCCTGTGTCTGTGTCAGCACAGCCAAGGTTCATAAGCAGAAGTCAATACTCCGTTAATCACTCTGTCAACACGCTCACTTACTCATTATTTAACATTCAAACAATCAGCCTCAGTGAAACAGAGACCGCGAGGACGGGAGATAATGGAAACGTCTCCGTTCTGTGTCTCCACACTAATTGACGTCACGGACGAAGTGAATAAATCCTGACAGAAAACAGCGACCTTCCAAGTCCAAGGTCTCAGCTCCACGGCGGTGCTGATGAAAACACGAAAAGTGACGCAACACAAATGTCAAGTGTCATCTCTTTCTTTCTGCCTCCAAGGTGCCAAGTTCCCCATAAAGTGGACCGCTCCCGAGGCCGCTCTCTACGGAAAATTCACCATCAAGTCGGACGTGTGGTCGTTTGGAATCCTGCTGACGGAGCTGGTGACCAAGGGCAGAGTGCCCTACCCAGGTGAGTGCTCCTCTCTGTGATCTCTCACTCACTTTCACTTGATTGCTCATGTCTGATGAATGCAGTGTGGGTGTGTGTTTGACTCAGTGGGTGTTCCGGCTGCTAAATTAACTGTCATGTTTTGGGGTTTTTTTACATTATATTATGCATCATGTAGACAGACGATGGTTTCTACTCAGTGCTGTGCCTAACCTGATTAACACAGAAATAACCGGCATGAAAACCTGGTCAAAGTAAATACTTTTAACATTGATATTTTTTGACATAGTGTCCCTGTTTATGTATGTTACACAGAGTTAAGTTGAGAATTTGGTCTTAGGTATCAGATCCAATGGTTGATAGTTGTATTTTTTTTAGATTTAGGTTCTTCTCATTGACAGAAGACTGTTTACTATATACAGTCAAATCTTTCTGTGTAAAATAATACAAATTCTGAGCGTCGCTACAAGGAATTTGTACGTATAAAGAACTTGAGTTTGTGTCACAGCAGTCTTAATAAGAATGTAAGGTTTTATTAAAACTTCACATTCTTTATATAAACTAAGTATCGTTGGTGCAATAATAAGGTTGAGGGCATTCATTTGAATTAAATATCCCATCACTATTCAAGAAAGGTGCCGTTTATGAGGACAGTGTTAACATATGTCGTCAGACTGACTGAAGGGTTGAGGACAGGGGTGTCCGTGTGACAGAATTCTACCAACTTTCAAAAGTTTTTGAAAATGTTTTAGGTAATCGGAGTATTTCAAGGAGAGGATATTAAAGATGAAGCCGCCAGGCAGAAAGAAAAGGAGGAGAAACAGGAGAGGTTTCCTGGTCACGAGGGGAGAATGTGAGGATGGTTGGTGTTTTAGTAGAGTCAGCAGGGAATATGATGAGATTAGGATTGATGGTGCACTGGTGGCGCCCCCTGAAGGGAGCAGCTGAAAGACGAAACAACTTATCCTTTCTCAGTTACAGAAATAGAAATACAGGGCAGTTAAAATAAGACAGTGGTTTGAAGCTGTTGGAAAAACTTCATTTACAGAGACGCTTACTCACTTTACTCTTTTGTTTTCACTCGTCCAGGCATGAACAACCGCGAGGTGTTGGAGCAGGTGGAGCGCGGCTATCGGATGCCATGCCCACAGGACTGCCCCACGTCCCTGCATGAGCTCATGGTGCAGTGCTGGAAGAAGGACCCCGAGGAGAGGCCAACCTTTGAGTACCTGCAGGCCTTTTTGGAGGACTACTTCACTGCCACCGAGCCCCAGTATCAGCCTGGGGATAATCTCTGAGCAGTGGCGCCCTCCTCCCCTCTCTTCATGTCATTTCACTAGTTCTCCACCAGAAGGAGCCAAACCACACCTATTCTCTCTCTTGCTCTTTCTCCCTCTCTCATCCTGTGGCATTTTATGATCTTAAAAGCTCATTGACTGACTCCTATGACTTCCATGCTTTTCACACACACACAAGAATGAATACACACACACACACACACACACACACACACAAACATATACATATACACACAAACGGAAGGACGACAACTCAGTGCTATGAAAGAAGGTGTTACGTTTGACTGAAGGGTTAAAAAGAAACGACTGCCATGGATGACGTTGTGTATCTTGTACGTAGTGTAAATATGAAATGCTTGTTTACTTATCTCTCCCTTTTGTTTATTTTATATTACTTTTGATATTTTGGAAATATGTGGATTTTGTTTTTTCTTCTTTTTAATCCAATGTTGAAGTAAATTTTCCGATTTTACGGCTCATAGAGAGAAATAAAAATGTGTGACGTTCACAGTTGGTTAAAATAAAATAACCCACCACGTACTAATTGTAGGAATGCCAATAGTTAGCTAATTAGAAATCCCGGACAGAGATTTCTCGGGCTTTCGTCTGGGAGTCGCCTGACCTTTTTTTACGAGGTTTAACACAACAACAACAACAACAAAAAAGCGTCTTTCTCCTTTTCTTTTTCTTCTCTAGGAGGAGCTACGATGTATTCTAACACCTATTCTTGCCTTTTCATGTTTAAGTAACATCTCTTCTAATGTAAGGGAATGCCTTTCATGCTTTCCACACACTATCTTAGCACATCACAGACTCTCTGCCTCACCCACGTACCTGTACAGCATCTGCACTGCTATCAAGTGCAACCATTGCATCTTAGCTTCAGCTAATAATTATTTTTAGATCAGCTTAAAAGTAACTTATAATTTAGCTTAATCTATGCGAGGCCATTTCCTCTAAGTGCGATCTTATAATTATCCTTTTTTTTCTTTCAGCTGACTGCTTATTATTATTATAAACTGATGAAGTTTTTAAATGTGTTTCATTATTGGATGGCAGCTGTGGCTGTGTTTAAGGACTCTGCATTGTCTCACCGCAAACTGCCACCTACAGTATGTGACAGGAAGTGAAGGATGTGTTAGTCCCTCCATGATAACATGTTGTTTATGAGACCAAATATGTTTATTTCCTGGTGTTATTATTATTTTGATTTATTTTTAACCAGTGTTTTGGGCCAGTCCTAAATGTGATTTGCCATAACGACGTTTCTTCATTCCTAACTTCTCTTCTCTGGCTGTGGAAGTGGAGCATTCCAGGAAAACACACCCACATTGTGTGTCTATTAATGTTGCTTTTCGTGAGTGGAAAAAGTCGGCGGAAAAACAACATAATAATTTTGTATTCACATATTTACCCTGATTCCGAAGAACACAAAAATGTCTTTCCACCTCCGCATTATTTATTGTCCCTGTCTGTTCCTTGTACATGACTGGTTTTGAAATAAACGATCTTGCCATCATCAGCCTGTCAGACATTTATTACTGGCCCTCGTGATTTTCGGTGTTTTCTCAGAAGAACGTTCAACACTCAGGGCTATTTTTGTTCCTGCAGTGACTGGCGTCCGAAAGGGTTTTTCTGGTTTTTCTTCTGAGAAAACATTAAAAACATTTAACGCAGAATTGTAAATTATTCTACTGTGAAGTGTATACGTTATAATTTAAATGACTATTAGGTGTACCTTTTTTTTTGACGAAAAAAAAAAAGCAGTGAAAGATTGTCTTTTTACTGAGCTTGAAATCAATGCCGTGAAAAGAACAAACCATAACTGAGGTATAGAGGAAAACTTGTAAAGAAGTTTTTTTTTTTTTTAAATATGAACCATTGAAATACTTTTAGATTAGATTAGAATGGATAAACAAAGTGTGCTAAAACATGGGATGAAAACCATTATCAGAAAATTGAAATCAATGCAGTGAAAAGAACAAACCATAACTGAGGTATAGAGGAAAACTTGTAAGTGATGTGTTTTTTATTATAATAATTATAATTGACACACGACCCATGTCAATGACCAGTCTGGATTTGAAGTGTGCTAAATCAACTATGTCAAACTCAAGGCCCGTGGGCCGGATGTGGCTGTCACATCATTTTATGTAGCCCCCCAGAGATTATCATGCATACGCTTGCCTTAAAATCTTCGTTGCACCAAAAGTCCCTCCAGCTTAACATACCATCTCAGCAAACAGCATGTATTTACAGAAGTTTCAACATCAGGTCAGACGCCCAGTTTGCGTCAGACCAACCTGACTGAATATAGGGCAGTAAATAAGTCTACAGATAAGAGGCTGACTGATTTTTATACTGATTGTGAGGAGCTGTAAACTGTTGAGGACATCAGCTTCACCAAGCTTTGTTGCATGTAAGTTAAGATGCACAATGATGACTGGAATCCACCAACTCCATGAAGTTCAGAGGTATAGTTTTTCAATGCATTTGAGTTATAGTTCCTTAATATAACAACGTGTACATCCACCTTAAAAACATTTCTTTTCCCTCCACCTCAGATTTTCCCGTGGGAATAACTGCAGGCCTTTTTCTCCCTCATTTCATTTCATTATGTAGCTCAAACAATTCATTATGGACTATATGCAAATCTTCAAGTACCAGCACGACACCATACAGGTTCAGGAGGAGTCAAACACAGCTGTATATAAAGTATAATAACGTGTCAGTGATGAATGTGTTCCTTTATAGATCGTTTTTATCCTGATTTTCAACCAACTGCGACCTTCTTTAATAAGCTCTAGTGTCTTTAGCCAAGTGAAATGAAATCCTAGTCTCACTGTGTCTTTTAACTGTCTTACATTCTTGTATTCATATGTTAACAATAACAGAATCAGCCTGAGCTCAACTTTCCTGGTTGAACAGCGCAGACACTTCAGCCCTGCCTCTGATTGGCTTAGCAGCAGCAATAGGAGAATTTGCATATAGCAGGTTTTTGACACACACAAGCCTCGGCACCGACAGGAGGGTAAAGAATCTTGCAGCTAGGACAGGTAAGTGAAGGTTTCTCCTCTTTCTCTCTCTCTGTATTGGGAATTCTTTACAGTCATGTTCACCATCTGACTGGTTAAAGTTTTAGCGTGATAATTGTTCTGCCATCCTTAAAAGATTCAAATGAAATGTCTGACAACTATACAAATATATCAATATATCTAAACGACACTTCTCTCTGTCTGCCACCTCCTGCAGGTTGACGGCTGCAGCGACCTGGAGATGATGGCAAAATCTGAAAAACAACTAGTGTTCTCCACTGCAGATGAATCCAAAACATCCCTGCAACTTTCCAGCCCTGAAGTCACAGCAAACCAGATTTTTTACACCAGCCCACAAAATGTAAAACTCACAGCAAGCTGTTTCATAGATGCACAGCGTCGATGCCAAAGCCAGTACAGTGGCGGGCAACTGAACCCAGAGCTGAGGAGTTACTCAGCTCCTGCGGCGCAACATTTAGAGCTGGTGCGCCACACACTGCCACAACATTCAGGGGCAAGTTTCCATCATTCCCCTTCTGGAGCCTCTCGCTCATATCCTGCACACATCAGGTCGTGGGAGGTGGGAGGGGAGGGCGGCTGCAGGGACTTTGGATCAAACCTGTGGTCGACAGCAACAACAGAGCCAGCAGCTGGGTAAAAGAGTTGAAAGATGTCTTAAAATGAATTTACATTTAAAGACGAGCATTCTGTTGGATGTTTACTGTATGTTTTGGGAGGGCTCTCAGGGGGCAACATCCACACCACCCTCAGCTTCAGAGTGACGATGAGGAGCTTGAGCCTCCACTGCCGCTGAGATCTGATGATGAATGGCCACATTTAAGTCCCTGTCTACATCATCACTACTACAACTATGGTAAGAAACAATGCAGTCAGTTAAAAGCAGTTGTGTCCTGTGTTTGTGCCTTTGTTTTTGTTGCTAAAAGTAGGCTGTATGTTGACTATGTGTGATTATGAAATTGGTGTGTGTGTGAATTAGTCTAAAGTATTTTAGAGGGCAATACTGTTGAATTTCTTTTTATTATTATTATTTTTGAAAAGGGGTACATAATATATTTGTCATTCTATGCAATTTTCTGGTCTGCTCTGAAGCATAATGACATTTAGATCAGATTAGGAGTTAGATTAGGTTCAAATTTGCTGTCATTGCATATGTCACAGGTACAGATACAGACAATAGTGTGTTTTACTGGTTTAAATAATCTGGGAAGTGGAAAATAATTTTAAACATTTTATTTTTAAAAATCTGTATTTTATATTTTCATCCTGTAAAATCTGACTATGAAAAAAGCCTCCAGAGCAATCTGTCCAAACACTGGATGGAAAGGGAACAGAATTGACTGCAGTTTGGATTAAACACAAATTTCTGTTGAGCATTTAAATAACTCAAAAACATCAGATTTACACTACAGAAGCAGTCTGGGTTTTTCTATATTGTCTGTTTGAGATCCCATGAAAAACGAATGTAAACGTAATGTATGTTCCTTAAAATGGTTACTATATCTGAAATGGAAAAATCAAAGAAGAAAAAAATCTTGTTTTAAATTTTTAATACTTTTAAAAATGTGTCTAGAATAAAATTTAGAACGTGGTAAAATTGTCTTGAATATAGCTGTGAGAAAAGGTGTGGTATTGTCTCATACTAAAAGCTAATACTAATAATAATGTTAGTTCCACTGCGACTGTTGAAAAGAAATAAAATCAATAGCCTATATTTCCAATGATTAATTTTGGTCATTCATTCATTTGTTTGCATTTATAACAAATTTGTTTGGACCTTTTGGAGACATCCCAGCACACACACCCACATGTCAACTCCAATTCTAGATCTTACATTTTTTCCAATTAAAAAAAATACATTTTTACATAATTATTATGTAATTATGTACATCATGCATAATTGGCCTACTTTTTAGCCACCAAAAGACAGTGGTTAATAAGTAGGTTAATTGGCATGAGACATGAGAAATGTTCTACAGCTGGCATATAAACTCTTCAACAGGTTCACATTAGCACACCCTGGTCAGTAAAACATGAATATGGCCGCCTGATACTTTTAATTTGAATGCTCATAGTACTAGAGGAATCACGTCACACCAGTCGTTTGCACACTACAACTTGAGAACCAATTGACAAGATGTTAATTTAAAAGAAAATGTGGGACTTGTATCAACAGGCTTTCGTCCACATCTGGACTTCAGGCCTCAAAGTGCCGCAGCAGGACATTACAACCACGGTCTGGTGCACAGTTTCCAGCCTCAACTAAACCACTACCGTCCTCCTGGATATGACATAAGAACCAGGAGAGATGTCCAAACATGGTAGATACAAAAACACACAACACATGACACTAGGTGCACAAACTGTGAAATTCCCAGTGAGATTAATGGTCTTGAAATATGTGGTGAGCCAGGTGTTGCAGCAGCCTCTTATTTGAATATTACACACTTCCATTAGCCTTTAACAAAACATATTTATTTATCAATTGTGTTCCTCCAGGCCTGATGATGACCATGGGAGGGACGGCACAGTTCAGGCAAAGGTCTCTGTGAATGTGCCGCAGTTCTTCATGCCTCCCGTGGGGGGCGTTTCACAGGTCAGTGTGAAGAACTTGAGCTCAGAGGAAGCAGAGGCAGGTGGATCACATCCACAAGAGAGAAGAAGAACAGTCAGTCTGCCTGATGAGTGTCGTAAGTCCTTTTGTTTTACCGCAGTATTTTCAGATTTTGGAGTGAGGGCTAGAGGCCCATCTCACTTTGGACTAGAAGGCCGTAAAACGGTTAATTTTGAGCTATCTTTTTGGGTGAGAAAGTGAAGAGTAGAAAGAAGGTACAGAAGCAGAGGTATTTCACACTTGGTGGGACAACTTGTCCTGGGCACAGGGCCATGGAGCATTCTTTTTATGGAAAAATAAACACGATTAAGTCGATGGTACTGCTGGGTGTGTCGCTGATTTTATGCGTCTACAAACCTGCCAGTCCTGTTCAGGGTTTGAGGAGAATCATAAAAACTTGGACTCCTCTGCGCATCCCTCCCTTTACCAAGGACATGTGTGACGTACAGTGGCCTGGTACAAACCAAAACACAGACAGACTTTCACTGAGTAAGGAGCCATTGGTAACGGGACATGGTCAACATAAATAAATCCTGTGCGTATTTAATGTATTACTGTATCTGGTCTTTCAGCCAAATTTGCACAAACAAAACACATTGTGTCTTATATTTGACTGTGATGTTTCTCCTCCTAGGAAACATTTTTATAACATATTCCTCAGATGTGTCTTCTGAGATGATGCCTTTTGTTGACTTCCTCACAAAGCAAGGATTTCGACCGGCCGTAAGTTAACACACAGGTGTAAACACGTTTCCCAACTTTTTTTCTACTCTCCACCAAGCACTGTCAAACAAAAATGTCACAAAAGTATTTGAAATGAAATATGATGATCATCTGGTTTCATTTTCTCACAATTTACTTACTCATTATGAAGCATGTTTATTTGAACATGAAGCTGATATACTGGCAAGAATTGAAGAAAGACACCCACAAAGATCTTCTTAAACAGCTCTGTGTCTCACTCTTCTTTTAGTTTTTATGGCAATCTGCTGCCTCCTAGTGGATGGGTATTCAATTGTCCTAGCTGTCACTGTGGCATGGATGAATGAAGACAAATTATTCGCATTAATTAACGTTTGTTAGATCAATTATGTGACGCGGCATACAATTCCATGATACAAACTAATGTGCCAAAGTGCAGTGGTTTAGAATCAATGGTCAACAAATAAAAAAGAAAGAAACAGTAACTTTATCTTAAATGCTGACTCTCTGTAACAGATCGACAATCATGAAAACACGATCAGAAGTATGGACATAAACATGTGGAAGGACAGTCACCTGAGAAATGTAAGTTACTACACTATTATTATGGATATTATTTTGGATTTTTTAAGAAAGTTTGGACATGTTTTTGTATGTTTCACCGACAGCCATCAAACTTGGTCATTGTCGCCATCAGTCCAAAGTACAAGGCCGACATAGAAGGATCAGTGACGGACAGCCACGGCCTCCACATTAAGTACATTCACACCATGGTGAGATAGTATTTACTCCCTCTGCCAAAGGTGAGGCTGAACAACTCCACTGGTTTGATCTCTATTTTTTTTTCAGATGCAGAATGAGTTCAAACTTTCTTTGATCTCTATTTTTTTTTTCAGATGCAGAATGAGTTCATCCAGCAGGGGAGTTTGAATTTCAGGTTCATACCAGTCCTTTTCCTCAACGCCTCTAAGGTTAGAAACACATCCTACTTCAAGACCCACCACGTTTAATTACGTTTTTTTAAGTACATATTTTTCACTTGTTTCATTGTTTTTCCTTTTCCTTTTTTTCTTATTTCTTCTCTTTTTACCTTCCTATACAATCATCTGCATCCTGTTTTAATTCTTTAATCTTCTAATTTCTTCTTTTTCTTTTTCCTCTTCTTCACCTTTATTATCACGGCAACACTTTTCTTCTTCGTGTCCATGAGCCTTGTTTGGAGTCTTCCCAAACCATCACCATCTCACTTTAGTAACAATTTCACTGTACTACCTCTACACCAACCTCCTGCATCAATCCCATTTAAACCCATTTACTCATAATATTTGTGAACTTTTTTGCAGGAGCACGTCCCTGGTTGGTTGAAGAACACACATGTCTACCGCTGGCCACATGACAAGGAGGATTTGTTACTGCGACTGCTAAGGGAGGAGCGATACGTTCCTCCTCCTGTGCCCATGGAGCTCACACTCATCATCAGGCCTGTGGCCCTGGGGTCTTCAGTCTCACTGTGACCTGTACAGATGCACGAGTTTACATATGTATCCACTGGGTTATTGTCCGTTTCACGTTGTTCAATAAAGTTAATTTCCCTGCGTGTTAGAGTCAGAATTTATTGATATCTGAATTTGCTATTGAAGTTCCCATGATATGAAGTTGTTCTGTCCTTGTATAATATATATTACGCTGTGTTAGAGTCAGAATTTATTGATGTCCAGTGGCATAATGCCTCAAAACGAATATCTGAATTTACTATTGAAGTTCCCATGATGGGAAGTTTTTCTGTCCTTGTATAATATATATTACGCAATACTACCATGTGTTTTGAATGGTATTTCAAAAGTAAAAAAAATACCATCATACCAAAAAGCCAAAAATATATTTTTTGTAAAAAGTTTTTCAAAATACAGAAAAAAAAGCAGGAGATTCAGGTTCCAGTAAGAAAAAAAAGGTAACAGAATAATGTAGATTAGGGTTCTTTGTTTTTTAACCATGTCTGAGTGTGTTTATACAGCAGCAACAGAACAGCACTTCAAACCATATAAAATTGGTCTGGCCCAGTGACAGGCCGCAAGTGGCAGTTTGATTTGGCTACTAGTTCACTAAGATTAGTTTTACTGTGTCATGATGATTTAAAAACCACCACGTTTATCAAGCCGTCATTCAAACAATGAATCCTCAAGCACTTACCAAGGAACAAACTACTACTTAAGGAAACCTAGGTCTAGTATCTCAATTGTGAGCCACAAACCTAAGTTAAAGTCGTGGCACTACGTTGGACCATATGGGGATTTTCTGAAAAGACTGTAAAGACTGAGATGTTGTAATTTGTCGCTTTTTGTGGACCAAGTGTAACAGTATAAGTGCCCCATCACACTTTAAAAGGCTTTTCTATGTTAATGTGGCATTTATGTGGGATTTAAACTCTTTGTAGAGGACGGAGTACTGTATGGTATCGAACTCCTGACATCGCTGTAATCCTATTGACTAGATATCTGCCAGATAAATCCAAATTTCATAATATATACACAGACAATGACCCAGAAAAGTAGGGGAAAAATGTTAAGAACAGGATGTTTGACGTTGTGTTTGTGGACTTCTTGCCCGTGGCACCTGCTTTACTTAAATTCAGAGCTGGAATAAAACCACCAGAAGAGGAAACCAAATCAGCCAACTGATCCACACCACACACCCCCTCCAACCACCAAAAAAGGCCTGCCTCAGCTGCTACTGCGCCTAAGGCTCTAGCTAAGAATAACCTTCATTTCTGGGGGGATAGGGTTACCTCCAAGCCTCCGTGTACTTTGCTATGACCTATACCCATGTGAGGCACCAATAACACAGGGTGGGGTATTCTGTTCTCACCCCCTACTCTGCCCAACCTTGCCTTGTGCTTAGCTTTGATTTTTCCTTACTGCACCACCTCTTCTTTGGCCCAACATCCCCAGACCACCCGTCTACAATGCTGCCTCACTGGCAGCTCCAAATTCCTCAACACCTATAAACTTACGTTGTAATTTTTCTAATTTTTCCAATTTGTTTCGTATTGGAAAATTTCACTGGTGGATTCCATGGATCTAAAATCAAGACTTTAACAACTGAAGGAAAATGGAATGAGTCTCTGAATACTTTTAACTTTAATTTCCTGACATGTGGACGTTGATTGGATTTTTAAATTGAAGCTTTGATTTTTTTTTTTTTTCCATGAATATATGAGGAGGTTTTGCCCGCAGTTGAGAGGATTAAACCTGAAATAGTCTCCATATAACCATGGCTGAAGGTAAGACTCCTATATCTGCACTCACTGATATGACCTACATGCACCTGTAAAAAACATTAATAACATTACTGCAATGTCAACAGGCCAGTAGGGACATCTGCAGCTGTCCTTTTTCTGGTCCTAAGATGAAACTGTTTTGTAAGGTGCCTGTTTTTGTTAACCTACTTAGGTCCATTTCTGACCTTTTTACTGATTACTTTGTTGTCTTATCTGGTTGTCTTAATAAGGACCAAAATCTGGTCCTTTAAAAAAACACTTAACTCTCTCTCTGCTCTGGTCTGAGTCAGTTCAAGTTTGTAACTTGTGATCTAGTGTAAGGGTTTGGCAGAAACTTGATAGGTCAAGTTAAAAACAGATTCATCCACACAAATGAATGGAAGAGGAAGTTGAGTCCTAATGTGAAGAGTTGTACAAACATTTGGGTGTATTTATATTTGCATTACGTGTGTTCATAATACACAATTAGTCTTATGTTCATGTTCATAACCTGGTTTCAAATAGGTTTTATTTTTTATTGTAAATCCCTTTTAGTCATCCGCTGGGATGTTCTATAAATTCCTCTGCAGTGCAAAACACCAACAGAAATACAACAGTGATTGCAACATATGTCCAGTTGGTAATAAATAAATGGTTCTGTTTTGATCAGCTGTGTCCTCTTTGGAAAATGTGTTGAAAGTTGGTTGCTATAAATACAGGCTATCATGTAGCCAAAGAATTAGCATTGCTGTGCTGTGACGAAGATGAGTGCTGCTGGGACTTTCTCCCGGCTGTTCAGCCATGGTGTTTGAGCTGTTTTCACTTATCAATTCAATGATATATTTATTTAAAAATATTGTCTTTTAGAAATGAATGTGCATATTAATTCAGTATATTTGATGCATTTTAGTTGAGAATAGGAGCTCTGATTTAATTTTTATCTGGTAGAATGCATTTCAAACAGAAAGAAATTTTAAGAAGTAACCCAAGAGACCAATCAAGAATAGACAAAAAATTTCAAAATAAAAATATATGAAGATAACGTCTAGTTTTAAAGACAACGTGATAATAGACCTAGTAAAAAATATATTAAAAAATGGTCAAAAAATATTTAAGTTAATGAGAAAATTTGTTTCCCATTCTAAACGTTTTGTTTTTTTAAACGCAGTGTCTTAAAGTAAGTTAAAATACTGCTCTGAATTAACTATAAGTTTATTCAACATAAACCTTGGTTTAATATAATAATATACATTTCGAACACATGAAAAGGTCGAGATGCTAGCCAAATATTTGATGAATATGCTCCAAAAATGGTTTTAAAAAATAATCTCAAAATCATATCAACCAGGAGGAAGGAGTCTGAGGTAAAAGCTATTTCCTCTGCTGTTGATTCTCAACATCTGAGGAAGTGTCAGAAGAACGGAATGCCAGCAGCTCGCTCACAGTTACACGGTGTCTCTTATACTGACAAAACATCCAGGTCTGAAAGTCATTCTCAGTTCAGTTCATGGTGACAAAGCTGTTATTAAATATCATTACAATCGCTACACAAAGAGCATTAAATAAGCAATTATGTGTTTACTTGCAGGTTTGTGCCATTGTATTACAGCCGTAACATCTTACTAAATGACTAACATTTTCCCACACATGCCACTATAAACCGTAACATCTTACTAAATAACATTTTCCCACACATGCCACTATAAGTGATATATGTATGGTATGTTAAGGTAGGTGTGTTTTTGTAGGTGTGTGGGATGTTATTGTCTTGTTTGGTTCACAGCATTTAATTACATTGTGACAAGTTTGCAACTGTAAAATGACCATTTAATGCTGCAAATACTCTACTGTCTCTATGTCATCAGCATATATAAACACACAAACTATACCTAATGTATAAACTGTCCTTTAATGAATGGTATTGTGTTTTAATTAAGGTAAACTTTGTCAATATTAATGTTACCTTCATTTCTTGTTTTAATATGTTTAATAAATAAACAGAATTTGTAGTTAAATACTAATTTCTCCATTCATATGTTCTCCATTTTAAGTATATAATCTTTCACGTTTTGTCTTATTATTCATGACAATCTTAAAAGTTCTTGTTTGAGAATATATATATTTTGGTTAACTAAAATAACACAATTTTAACAGTTACAAAATAGCAATATCTGATAAACTTCTTGAAGTTGCAAAGAAACATTTTCCTTGTTTGCGGCAATTACTTTGCAAAGAAAGAAAGAAACATTTTCCTTGTTTGCGGCAATTACATTTAAAAAAAGAGGGAGGGAAATGAGGGTACCAATGTCCTACCTTGACTATGCCGAGATTGACTGCTTTACACAGGAAGAAAACTGGCCTCCTCCTCCTCCTCCTCTTCTTCAGCCGATGGGTCCAATGGAGCAGCCCCGCCACAGAGCAGTTCCTTCAAGTCCAAAGGTCTGGGTCTCCTCAGGAAGCTGAAGCTGTCTGTGGAGCTGCTTGTCGCTCTGGTTGCTCTTCTCTCATGGATCATCGTGGGGGTAGTGATGTTTGACTTTGTCGAATACAAGGCTGTTCCAGGTTAGACACAAAAAAAAATATTATTTATTAGTTTCAAGCACTAGATTGAGCAGACTTATCAGTGTATATATGTTTTTTCAGACATTCAGCAAATCATAACCAACCCTGTAGGGGCAGTAAATGACGCCGTCGATGAAGTATCTAGTCTGATCAATAAATTTCAAGGTAAGAATACAAAATCACACGTGTCATATTTGTTATACTTTAACTTTTAATGTAAAGTAACACAGAACTACTTTTCTGTCTTTGCCTCCAGAATGTGCACCTGATTTGAGTGACCCCAGGTCAACAGCCGCTTATGTAGCAGAAGAAATATCAGAAGCGAAAGATGGAATTATACAATATTTTTCCGATGAGGAGGGTATGTTTACTTACGATATTCAATGGTTGAATATTTGACCAAAGACATTAACTGTTAAAGTTATAAACTTTATCTCACAGGAACCTTCTATCTCAGCTACATTGATCCAGTGGTCGTTGGCAGAAAAGTTTTTCATTCAACCAATGATTTTATGAATGGGGCGGTGGGCACCTTTCGAGACAGTGTGTGTGCCATTATAGACACAATACTGGATTCTATAGGGGAAATTACGAAAGGTATGTACTGTATATAGTTTAACAAACCTATAACCGAAAATGTCTTTGAATAACCCAACCCTAGAAGGCCATGTAAAACTTTACATTTTTTTTATCAAAAGCTCAAGGAAGTACAAGGAACAACAATTTTATATTTTCGTCAAAGATCGGCACTACATCTCTAAAGCTTATAATAAAAATAAATACATATATATATATATATATGCTTTTTTCTTGTCAGTAATGGTGACAATGTTTTGCTACAGACAGATAATTATTAATCATAACAGCAGAAGAGAGAAAGAGAGAATGCACAAAAGTCTATTGCTACAACAACGCTAAGACAAAAACCAAGACAAATGTTATTTCAAAAGATGTAAGATATTTACAACTAAAACATTTCAAGGTGCATAAAAAAACATGAGCACAAAAATTCCCCCAGAATTCTACAACCGATGGGCTCTAGGACAAAAACACTGCTTGGTTTTCATAAATAAAGGGTCGACTTTTCCTTAATATAACACCTTCGGTAAAACAAGAAGAACTAATGGATCTAATTGACTTGGTTTGAGCTAACACATTAATATATTATATTGAAGCAAGACTTTTTTTTTTGCTTCCTCAGGAAAAATTGACCTGAGCTACATTGACCCTGTGGTCACAGGGAGGAATGTCTTCAGTGCTACTAACGAAGTCATATGTGGGGTGGAGGACTACATCCGCACTAAACTCTGTGCCGTTGCAGACGCTGTTTTGGATGTAGTCAAAGGTATTAACTCCGGTCATTAAACACCTGTCTAACCTCTATAACATAATAAAATGACTAATGAACTTCTGAGGAGAGCATTCTTCACGTTTAAACTAATGGAAAAATCTGTTTATATTATTAAATTATGTGCAGGAACCATTGACATCAGCTTCATGAATCCTGTGGTTATTGGCAGAAATGTCTTTAAAGTCACAAATGAAACTGTGGGTGGAGCTGTTGGCTACATTCAAGATGTTCTCTGTGCCATCATAGACACTGTACTGGATACAGTTAAAGGTATCTGATTCATGTGTGGGTTGTTTTTTTTTTTGACATTTGTGTTGAATTTAAATTTAAATGTGTGACTGTGAAAGTTAAAAACTAATTTCTCAGTTAACTACAAAAATGATTGATTTTGTGGTTAAAACTGTTAATTCTAACCTTTTATTTTGTAAGTGTCTCATAAAAATCCTGCATGAATGTGTGTTGTTCTCCTCAGGAACCACTGACATTAGCTTCATTGACCCCGTGGTCATTGGCAGAAATGTCTTCAATGTTACTAATGACTTTGTGAGTGGAGTAACAGGATACGTCCAGGGGGTGCTCTGTGCAGTCCTGGATGTGATACTGGACACACTCAAAGGTACTGTCTACAGGGATATGTCTGCTCCATAGACTATGAGCAGGAAACAGATATAGTCACAACAGAAGTTTATCAAGTGTAGCTATTCTGAAATCAAAACTCAAAAATCTGCATGTTGCCTGGTCCAAAATATCACAATATAGCTGGCATGTCAGGTTACAGGTCACTTACTGTACAGCCTGCAATTACACTGTGTGTGTCGCACAGTATTTAAAAAATATTGCTTTCAAAACAATTCATAATGATACTTTAATAAAATGGTTTAATCTGTACCTAACCACTATGACCTGTTTGTTGGTCAGGCATCCAAAATGCTGTGGGATTCAGTCCCCTGTCCTTTGTAAAGCAAACAGCAGACTTCACCACAGAACAGATCAACGCAATTGTCGGTTACGTCTCTACAACGCTGACGGGTGATCAAGGTCTGCTTTACCATGTCATCACATTATAAGAATTTACTTGATATTTACTTTGGGTATTTGACTCTGGGTTGTACCTACATTGCAGGTATTTTGCCTGAAGTGTCTGTCGACCCCATGAAAGTCATCGAAGATGCTTTGCTGGAGTTTTCAGACAAGAAAGATTTGTTTCTTGCCTATATGTCAACCATGCTAATTGGAGACCAAGGTAAACTTTTTCCTTGTTGATCAGTACAAAAATGGTCTATGATCCATAAAAAAAAACTATAAAATTATATAAGACATTACATGTAGTAAATTATGACATAATTATCAGCAACTGTAGATTAATGCAGTAGTGCAGAATTAACTATTTACTATATACTTTCTTTCTTTCTGATTTTTAGCTGAACCTGTTGCCAAACCAGTTGTGAACATAGTCACTGAAGAAGGTTTTCCTTTTTATTACAGATAAAATATTAACACGTGATCTTAACAACCATCAAATATTCTTCAGGGCCCAAACTTGTTTCTCTATGTTTCTGTGTAGATAAAACTGTAGCTTCTCCAGCTGATATCACTTTGGTGAGAAAAAAAGGTGAGTGATCATTTTTTTTTATTATTTAAAATTTCAATTGCACCCTCTTGTGATTGAACAATATTATTTCACTTTCTGAAATTTAGGAGAATTTTTGCCACCACCAGAAAAAGGTAAGAAAAGTACACTGTATGATGGGAGACAAAATGTAGGACATCTTTCACTATGTAATATGTGTGTGTTGCTTGCAGCTAGTGTGCATAGATCATTTTCTGCATCCTCTTTTCTGACATCCTAGCATCAAGTCCTCATTTAGACCCTATTTATGCCATGGCATGAATGAACATGCATCATAACCTCATTTTTCCTTTCACTTCCCTTCCCTCCACTCAGTCACTGGTTATGTAATCACTGCATCACTCCTGTTCCTGTCACTGACGGTTTGTTGTTTTTTAATTCAGGTGTTTTGCCTTTGATTCGTATTTTTCAGTCATCCTGTTTTGTGTTATTCTTTGTACGAACAAACAGAGATGCTGTTCACCTTTGCACAATGACATTTGCAGTATGCATTATTTATACCTGGACTGCATTTTGTACAGCTGACGTGTATATCTATTTGCCCATTTGTGATGTGTTTGCACTGTATATATGTGAATTGTTCTAACTAAAATGTGCAAGAACAATGTCTGAAAAATGTTTTTTGATGTGTTCAAAAAATATACTTTTGAACCAACAATGATTAAGTAATGAAACCATCTAAAATCTATCAAACTTTATGACCTGTTTATTTAAACACTCACTCTGTTCTAAAACAAATCTACATCAAAACTTTGGTTTATATAAACTCATATCATGTTAATGATACATGCAGAACCAAAAATTTTGCAGAATTTTCAGAAAGTATTTAGTATTATTCAGAGCCAATTACAGTATAATCTAACTAAACTAAAGAGCATAATTTAAAGTAAAAGCTCTTCTTTGCTGCCTTTGGTTTGTTGAAGAACTTTACTTCTACAGAACCTGAATGAAAGCCGGTAATTCTAATGATTGTGTCCCAGACCTCCAAACTATCTGGTCTGATTTTACAATGGTGAAATCTGGAGATAGAAGAAGTAGTAATAGAAATTGTAAGAACACACATACTATATTCACTGGCAGCAGCCAAAATCGAGTAACCAAAAAAGGTGTCATTGTTGGTTTAAGTGCATTTATTATATTTTTTGACATTGTTGCCATCTCTTTGACTACTCATAAAGATAGGTTTTTGAAAACAAATTCTGTTGTGAATGACTAACTCAAGCACGCAAACTACATTTCACCCCATTAAAGTGCTCCTGTACCTTTGAAAAGAGTTTGTCAGACAAAGTAAAACGAGAGAGCAATGACAAGAGTTAATGATGCAGTTGCAGGGCTAACTCCTGCTGCCAAAAAGGAAGCACCAGAGTTCAGTGACCACTCGAAGAGTAAGGAAGAGGACAAGGAGGACAATGTTCCTGCCGAGGCTGTGAATGTAACTGATGATGAAACAGAGGAGGAAGAGGAGGATGGTATTCACCCATTTTTTATTTAAAAAAATATTAATTTTCCAGAGTAAAGAAAATAGACACAATCACTAAATTTGTAACTGTCACATTAATAGCAAAACAAATTCACCGGCAAGAAAGAGAACATGAACCACTACTGAAGGATGAACTAGTCTCTCACGATGGTGATGAAGAAGAAGGGGCGGAGGAAACGCAGGTGGAGGACAAAGGTTTTGGTGAAAAGTTGGAAGTAGAGGAGGACGACAACTTCCAGTCAGATATGCTAGAGCTGGCCAAATCTGAGGTTTCAGTACAAGAAAAAGAGGAGGCCAAATTCCAAGAAGAAGAAGGAGAACAAGTAAAATCTCAAGCTTTCGAAGAGGCGGAGAAGAAGGAGGATGGGACAGAAACAGAAGTTTTGGAAGAAGAGGAGGAGGAACAGGAGAAGGAGGATGAGACCAAAACAGAAGCTTTGGAAGGAGAAGAAGAGGACAAGCCCAAACCAGACATTTTGGATGAGGAGGAGGTGGAAGATAATGATGCCAAATCAGACATTTTGGAAGAAAAAGAAGAAGAGGAGAAGGAGGAGAAAGAGGAGGCTAAAACTGAATTTTTGGAAAAAGTGGAGAGGGCCAAAAAAGATTTGGAAGAAGACGATGAGGAGGGGGAAGAGGAGGAGGCCAAAACTGCAATTTTAAAAGAAGAAGAAGTTGAAGAACAGGAGGCCAAAACTGAAGATGTGGGAGAGGAAGAGGAGCAGGAGGAGGGGCTAGTCAAAGAGGAAAACCTTAAAATTGCAATTTTAGAAGAAGAAAAGGAAGAGAAGGAGGAAGAGGCCAAAACTGAAATTTTGGAAGAAGAGGAGCAGGAAGATGAGGAGGTGGAGGAACACAAAATTGAAGTCTTGGAAGAACAAGAGGTTATTGAAGATGAAGAGGAAGAGGATGAGACCAGACCTGAAGATGTGGAAAAGGAGGAGGAAGGGACAATATTTTCCAAAGAAGTAAAAGAGGATGTCCAAACTATGGTCTCGGTCCTAGCAGATCAATCTGAATCAGAGGAATTAGTAAAAGAGGACCAGGATGAGGATACAAGTATCAAATCTAAACCGGAGTCTGTGGATGAAGTTCTTTCTGTAGATGACAGAGGATCTGAAGACAAAACTAAAACGATTGAAACTCATGTCAAAGATCAGGTAGAGACATCTGTTCACGAGGATCTGGAGCTGGAGGAAGAAACCGAGGCTCAGACTGAGCTAAAAGACAGGGATGATAACGAGCAGTCAACAGTCCAGCCTGGGTCTGAACTCCAATCAGCTGAAATGTTCGCTAATGTCAATGTTGTGCATGAATACACTACCAAAGATGAAGAAAAACACCAAGCACTCTTGGAAGCTAAGCCAAAGAGGGAGGACCACGTAGCCTCAGAGACAACAAGAGAATCCAGAGCTGCTCACAAAGAGGATGCAGAAGATGTGGATGTCAAAGGTATAAAACTCTTGTCAATATCACCACATTATCTTTCAACATCTGTTTCATCAGGTTTTGAAAGGTTATTGAGTGGCGAGTATGTTTTTGATGACAAATGTTCAAGGTGTGACAAAGGGAATGAGTCTGACTCATCAAATTAAAAGCATGAAAGATAAATGTGATCAAAAGTTCATTAAGAACTTTTTTATACTGCTGACTGAATAATGAAGAACCAAAAAAACATCTTTGACATTGCAATTTTTGTGAATGTTAAGACAGACAAGTTTGATTAAAAACAATCTCAGTGGGTTTCCTTACGAAATGATGTTCAAGATAGAACTGGTGAAGAAATTTGATCTGACAAGGCCAAGAGGGTTTTATTTATATCATACATTTCCTAGATTGGATATTGAATCACTGTGAAGAAAGAGGATCTCAGGGTTCAGTGAAGGATGTAGGAGTTCTACCATATTCAACAGCTTATTTTTGGTGACTCAGACACATCTATTTCTCTAAGTGCTAATTTTGTTATTTACTTTAGTGTTCTTAATTTAAAAACAGTCTTTGCCTTCTAAAGGCGATGAAACATAGCTGTGGTACCTGCCAAGCGCAGCACGTGGAGCCAAAGCCTTATGATTAAAGGACCAGTCTTGAGCTGATTGTTGTAATTTTAAAAATTGGTATATCCTTAATTATCTATTTACTAAATGTACCTGTATATCACGCCAGTTCAAATTTTCCCACGACTACTGTTTTAAGAATTATATATTGTCTATAACTTGTGTTGGGTTTGTTGAGTGCTGTAGTGCTTCTAGTGCTTATGCATGCATGGTTTAAGATAAGATCATTTAAGAAGATTCAGATGTAGTTTTTGGTCAGAACTACATTGTTATATTCTAAATAATATTGCCTATTTCTGAGTGAAAGTCATGCAGTTAAGGAAGACAAAGAGCAAATGTAACATTACATTTTTATCTTTGTTTCACTACACTAGTTTTGCCACATTTTCTGTGTAACATAAAAATCAAGTTCAACTGTAAATATGTATACAAAGATGTTCTCTACCAGGTACATTTGTTTATGAATAATTATTTCTGGTTATATCCATAAGTTACAGGCACAGAGGAAATGACACTTGAGAAGCAACCAGAGATACCCAAAGGTAATCATGCTTGCTATTTAAATATAAGATTGTATATTCCATGTGTAAACTATTTTTCATGAAGAGTGAACAACTATGCAGAAATTACAGAAATTTCCATTTTTGTCGGCTTGCTCCTTAATTCCCATCATTTTGATTCATTTTCTACAACACATGCTTGAACCAATGGTTGCGTTTAAAAGAAGAGGTAAAGGAAAAGACAGAAGTCACAAAACCATCTAAACATGAGAAGGAAGCTAAGAAACCACCTAAAGAAGAGAAGGAAGCTAAGAAACCACCAAAGGATACACTGTCAAAAACTATAAACGAAAAGAAAGACGAGAAGAGACTCCGTAAAGAGAAAGAAATAAAGAAACTACAGAAAGAAGAAAGGGAACTAAAGGAAACAACTAAAGAAGAAAAGAAGTTAAAGAAAACACTTAAAGAGAAGAAGGAATCAATAAGACCACCAAAGGAAGAAAGAGTGCCAAAGATAACACCTGAAGATAGAGATGTAAAGAAACCGTCTAAAGAAAAAGAAGAAGCTAAGATTGCATACAAGGAAAGGGAGGTCAAGACTTTGTCTAAGGAAGAGAAAAAAGAACTCAAAAAAAGGGAAAGAAAACCTCTAAAAGATGAGACAAAAATCAAAAAACTACCTACAGAAAAGAGAGATGAAAAAGAACTCCCAAAAGAACAAAGGGAGATCAAGATACACTTAAAAGAGGAGAAAGAAGTGAAAAGGTCTCCTACAGAGAAGACTTCTAAAGAGAAGATTAAAATCAAACCTAAAGAAGAAGACAAAAAACCATCTAAAGAAAAGGAGGAAGTAAAGGAAGTTTCAAAAGAGAAAAAAGAGATAAAGCTTGTAAAAGAGGTAGAGATGAAGATAACACCTAAAAAAGAAGAAGTGAAGAAACTTCTTAAAGAGAAAAAGGATGAGAAAGAAGACTTTATTGAGCCTCCAAGTGGAGAAAAAGAGGCAAAGAAGCCATTCAAACTGGTTAAAATCCAGAAGAAACCTAAAAAGGAGAAGGCCACCAAACCATTTCAAGAAGACAAAGAGGAAAAGCCTCTAAAAGAAATAAAAGGTAAGAAACCATTTCAAGAGTTGAAGGAGAAGCAGGCTCCAAGAGAAAAGAGTGAAGTCAAGAAACCATCAAAGGAAAAGAAAGAGGTAAAGCATCTCAAAGAAAGGAAATATGTCAAGAAACCACCTACAGAGAAAGAAACAGATGATCTAAAAAAAGAAGAAAAACTAAAGGAAACTCTAAAAGAGATAGTACCTGAAAAGGAGAAGGAAGTTAAACTATCTCAAGAGGTAGAGGAAGAGCCTCCAAAAATAACAGGAGTCAAGAAACCATCTAAGGTAGACAGAGAGAAGAAACCTCAAAAAGTAACAGAGATGAAAAAAGTAAAGAAGCATCTTAAAGAAAAGATAGAGGTAAAACCATCTGAAACAGAGGTGGAGCTGGATAAACTTCCAAAGGAAGGTGATAAAGAGGTAAAAAAGCCTTCCAAAGACTTTGAGGTCAAAATAACACCTAAAGAAAGGAAAGAGAAGAAACCATCTAAGGATGAAAAAGAGGTGAAGCTCACAAAGGAAAAGAAAGACATCAAGAAACCAATTACAGAAGAAAAGAAAGAGATCAAGATAGCCCCTGAAGATGACAAAGAAACCAAGAAAACACCTAGAGCAAAAAGAGAGGTCAATATGCATTCAAAAGAAGTTAAAGAAGTAGAGAAAACACCTAAGGAAAAGAAAGAAGTCAAGGAACCTTCTAAGAAGCCTTTGGAAGAAAAGACGCCATCAGAAGACGTAATACAGGAAGAACGTGAACCAGAGAAACCTCCCCAAGAAGAAGAACCAGCAAAACCTTCTAGAGAAGCAAAAAGAAGAACACAAAGGAAAACCAAAGATGAGACAGAACAAAAGAAAGGTGCAAAGAGACAGGACGAGAAGCTTTTCAAAAATAAAGTGGCAGAAAAGAAATCAGAAAAAGAAGCAATGAAAATACTGAAGAAAGATACAAAACCAGATACAAAACATCCTACATTAAAGGAGGGGATCCAAAAACCACCTAAAGAAGCAACAGAAATCAGAGTACAAGAAAAAGAGAAGCCCAAAAAACCAACTCAAGAAAAGGAGGATATCAAGAAGCCATTTAACGAGACAAAGGAATTCAAGAAGATTCCTAAAATTAAAGTAATTAAGAAGCTTCTAAAGGATGTTAAGGAAATCAGGAGGCCCTCAACAGAAAAAGAACTCAAGAAGCCTCACAAAAAAGATGAGCAACCCAAGAAGCCTCTTAAAGGGACATTGGAAATTACAAAGGCCCCACAAGTGAAAATGGAAACTAAGGAGCATCCAAAAAAGGGGGAAGAAATCAAGAAAACTCAAGAAAAGGAGAAGAAAGAAGTGAAGGCTCCCGTTCAGGAAGAGAAAGCTATAAACACACCACCTGAAGAGAAAAAGGTAACCAAGGAGCGTTCTAAAGAAGCTGAAGAAATCAAGAAACCACTTAAAGAAAAGACAATCAAGAAAGAAACCAAGGAGCCTACCAAAGAGAAGAAAGAAATTAAAGAGACGGTAAAAATACCTCCTAAAGAAAAGAAGGCAACCAAGGAGCCACCTAAAGAAACCGAAAAAATCCAGAAACAAATGAAAGAAAAGGAGGATATCAAGAAGCCATTTAACGAGACAAAGGAATTCAAGAAGATTCCTAAAATTAAAGTAATTAAGAAGCTTCTAAAGGATGTTAAGGAAATCAGGAGGCCCTCAACAGAAAAAGAACTCAAGAAGCCTCACAAAAAAGATGAGCAACCCAAGAAGCCTCTTAAAGGGACATTGGAAACTACAAAGGCCCCACAAGTGAAAATGGAAACTAAGGAGCATCCAAAAAAAGGGGAAGAAATCAAGAAAACTCAAGAAAAGGAGAAGAAAGAAGTGAAGGCTCCCGTTCAGGAAGAGAAAGCTATAAAAACACCCCCTGAAGAGAAAAGGGTAACCAAGGAGCATTCTAAAGAAACTGAAAAAATCCAGAAACAAATTAAAGAAAAGGAGAAAATCAAGAAGCCTTCTGAAAAGAAGAAAGAAATTAAGATGCCTCCTCTGGAAGATAAAGAACTTAAAACACCTCCTAAAGAGAAGAAGGGAATTAAGGAGCCTCGTAAAGAAGAGAAAGAAAGCAAGGAGCCTCTCAAAGAAGAAAAAGGTATCAAAGCTTCTAAAGAAGATGAAGAGATCAAGAAAGCAGTTACAGAAAAGGAGAAAATCAAGAAGTCTTCTAAAGAAAAGAAGGAAATTAAGATACTTGCTCAGAAAGAGAAAGAAATCAAAGAGCCTCCTAAAGAAAAGAAGGAAGGCAAGGAGACTCTCAAGGAAGAGAAAGGTATCAAAACACCACCTGAAGAGAAGAAGGTAACCAGGGAAGCTTCTAAAGAAGCTGAAGAGATCAAGAAACCAGTTAAAGAAAAGGAGAAAATCAAGAAGCCTTCTAAAGAAAATAAGGAAATTAAGATACCTCCTCAGAAAGAGAACGAAATCAAAATGCCTCCGAAAGAAAATAAAGAAATCAAGGAGCCTCCTAAAGAAAAGAAGGAAGGCAAGGAGACTCTCAAGAAAGAGAAAGGTATCAAAACACCTCCTGAAGAGAAGAAGGTAACTGAGGTAGCTTCTAAAGAAGCTGAAGAGATCAAGAAACCAGTTAAAGAAAAGGAGAAAATAAAGAAACCTTCTGAAGAAAAGAAGGAAATTAAGATGCCTCCTCAGGAAGAGAAAGAAATCAAATTGCCCCCTAAAGAGAAGAAAGACATCAAGGAGTCTCCAAAAGAAAAGAAAGAAGTCAAGAAGACTCTTCAGGAAGAAAAGAGTATCAAAACACCTTCTGAAAAGAAAAAGGTAACCAATGAGCCTCTTAAAGAAGCTGAAGAAATCAAGAAATCACTTGAAAAAAAGGAGAAAGTTGAGAAGCCTTCTGAAAAGAAGAAAGAAATTAAGATGCCTCCTCAGGAAGAGAAAGAAATCAAAACACCTCCAAAAGAGAGGATGGAAATCAAGGAGCTTCCTAAAGAAAAGAAAGAAACAAAGGGGCCACGTAAAGAAACCGAAGAAATCCAGAAACAAATTAAAGAAAAGGAGAAAACCAAAAAGCCTTCTGAAAAGAAGGGAGAAATTAAGATGCCTCCTCAGGAAGATAAAGAACTTAAAACACCTCCTAAAGAGAGGAAGGATATTAAGGAGCCTCATAAAGAAGAAAGAAAAAGCAAGAGGCCTCTTAAGGAAGAGAAAGCTATCAAAACACCTCCCAAAGAGAAGACGGTAACCAGGGAAGCTTCTAAAGAGGCTGAAGAGATCAAGAAACCAGTTAAAGAAAAGGAGAAAATCAAGAAGCCTTCTGAAGAGAAGAGGGAAGTTAAGATACCTCCTCAAAAAGAGAAAGAAATCAAAATACCTCCTAAAGAAAAGAAAGAGGTCAAGGAGCCTCCTAAAGAAATGAAGCAAGGCAAAGAGACTGTCAAGGAAGAGAAAGGTATCAAAACACCTCCTGAAGAGAAGAAGGTAACCAAAGAACCTTCTAAAGAAGATGAAGAGATCAAGAAACCAGTTACAGAAAAGGAGAAAATCAAGAAGCCTTCTAAAGAAAAGAAGGAAATCAAGATCCCCCCAACTGAAAAGAAAGAAATCAAGGAGCCTCCTAAAGAAAAGAAAGAAGTCCAGATTATCAAAACACATTCAGAAAAGAAGAATGTAACAAAGGAGCCTCTTAAAGAAGCTGAAGAAATCAAGAAAACACTTACAGAAAAAGAAAAGACAAAGAAGCCTCCCAAAGAAGACAAACAAACTGAAAAACTTCTAAAAGAAGAGAAAGAAATACAACCTACTAAAGAGAAGAAAGAAACTGAAAAACTTCCCAAAGAACGGGAAAAAACCAAGAAGCTTCTTAAAGAAGAGAAAGAACCCATAAAGAAGAAAGAAGCAAAATCAGGTAAACTGTTTGGTTCTGTTATAATAAAACAGTTTGTATTTCTCACTAAAATAAAAAATGGAAGAGCAAACATACAGTAGTGGTAATGAACAGGTTATAATGACAGTGGTTCCCAAGTAAAATAATTAAATTTAGCAAAACTGTAAACTAAAACAACAATACAGTGGACCTTTGCAACCCAAGTGACAAGATAGAAGCTCAATCAGTTAATCATATATATTCTTCATCGAGCAAAACTACTGAAAATCGCTAGCAACGGATGCGTATTCACAGGGCAGCTAATTCACCAGGGAGGATTGTTTTACTCCTTAAACAAAACTTCTTCAAATATAGAATGCAACGGGTTGGCAACGTCTTTAACATACCATCGACGTATGTGGAGGCCTTAGTAGCCAGCAACAGATCCAAAAGGCTTTGCTTTAGCAGTTCCCACACAAACATTTCACAACGCAGTCGCGACTCTCTTTCCCGCTTAGGTGTTGAAACCAGGAAGTACCATGGTGCACTTGGTGAAGTAAACGTAACATGACTCAGAATCGCCCCCGTGTGGACTGAATGCATAATAACAGAGAAAACTGAATCAATTTACCTTATGCCTCGCATACGAAATCACCTCATAAATAGTACATGTAACGTGGGGAGAATAGCTGGAAAAGTTCATTTAAATATTTTTAAAGGTGTAAATGTTTTTTTAAAGGTGTTGTTGATGTTTTCTTTTAGACTCAAAACTTAAGAAGGCTGTAAGAGTTAAGGTCGCGAAGAAAGCTTTTGCATCTATTCTGAAAAAGGAACATCTGAATGCAACAAAAGCAGGTAAGGTGTTTACTCCTAAGACACCAAAGTCACCGAGTCATTGAAATCCATCGCTGCTATTTTACCCTTTTACTTAGGGGGGCGCCGTGTTATCACCACACGTTATTATCGCGTCTTTGGATACGTTATGTCCATAGTACATGATTCAACATTTCCAAAACTAAGACGAAGACCTACTCTGGCACAGCCACAATATTTTGTGCTCTTTCCAGATAGAGAAAATCAATGTGTTGACAGAAGCTGCTAGAAGGCATATAGTTCCTCTCCTAAAAAAGGAATGTATGAATGTAACAAGCTGGTAAATGTTAGACCACTGACTGTATAAAAGTACTACTCCCTGCAAAACCAGCCCCGACATGATACCTCTTCACGATTGGCTCAATGACAACTTTATGATGGACAGACAGTTTGTATCAACTCTGCCAAATTATCTCAAGCCCCCGATATTTTTTTCTGCATCACCTGCTATGTGACAGAATCAAAATTATCCTATCAATCAGTTGTTTTAGAAAGACCACTTTTGCTACTATGCTAATGCTAATGTGACATTTGATGTAACTATTTTTTATTTTAAACAGAGGTTCTCGAGGTTAAAGAGAGGAAAGCAAAACCAGTATCTACAAAGAAAGGTATTTGAAACATATTTTGTCAGTTATATTAATAGTTTCATTGTTTAACTGGTGTAAAAATAGAGACCTTACAGGTGCCTTTCTTCAGTTGACGGTGTGTTTGACTTCAAGCTACTCCTTTTTTCTAGACTTACATGTGCCTTTCTTCAGTTGACGGTGTGTTGACATGCGTTGACTTCAAGCTACTCCTTTTTTCTAGAAAAAAAATTCTATTTTTCTAGTCTATTTTATAACTTTCCATAATTTGTCTGAAAAATTAGGTTAAAATTTGGAAGGGGCACAGATACTTAAAAATAAATACATAAAATAAAGAAACTGGCAGTGAGCTACATTTTTCTGAATTTTTTTAATCTGTACTTGTGATATAGTTTCCACAGTGGTAGCTCCCAAGCCCAAGGATGAACCCAAACAGAAAATCAAACCAAAGCCGGTAAAATCAGGTAATATAAAAAAAAACATAATTTGTTGCAATTAAATATACTTCTTACTATATTTTATTAATTTGCTCTGTGTTTTGTACTTTTGAAGCCCCAAAGAAGGAGGCCAAAGCAGCACCTGTAAAGAAAGGTAATTTATGACATGTTACTAATTGATGTTCAAATAACAGCAAGAACTTGAAATTTAACCTAACACTGTGCTTTTGAAAAACAGAGGTAGCCAAGGCAAAGGAAAAGACCAAAGAAGTTACCCTGAAAAAGGGTAAGTGCAAAAAAATATATTTATAATCGTTAAAAATATTTGGAATTCTATATTATAAATAAACTATTTATAATCGTTAAAAAGGTTAATATTTGGAATTCTATATTATAAATAATTCTGGAATTGCTTGACAGAACCAGAAGTCCCTGCCAGAAATGTCTCCCTGGTGAAAGAAAGAATCAAAATTGTGCCTATGAAAAAAGGTAAATAAATAAGTTTCATGTCTTCCACCTTTATTTACTCTACAGTAAGTGACTTAAAAATATTTTCGTTTCCAGAAGTCAAGGCACCTAAAGAGAGAGTGAAGGCAGTCTCTGCTAAGACAGGTAGACTTTGTTAAAGAATTCACATCAAATCGGAATATTTCGTGGTTTTGTACGGAACATAATGTCACATGTTATTCCTGCAGTTGAGGAGCCGAAGGAAAAGCCCAAAGCTGTTGCAACAAAGCGAGGTAAAGCTGAGTTAGTCCTGTGTTTTTATTAATTTTTTTATTTTGTGTGTGTCTTGTTTGAATGACAAATCTAAAACTGTTTTCTACAGAACCTGCTCCTCTCAAGACAAGACCAGTAGTCAAAGGTCAGAAGCCTTTTATTGGTGTATATACGGCAATGTGGAGTTACTAATGGAGATGTTTATATTTACGTAACATTATTGTCTTGTTTCTTGTAGAGACAGAAGCCCAGCATAAAAATGTATCTCTCGCCAAGGAGAGGGTGAAGGTGGTGCCACTGAGGAAAGGTGCAGTATTTAGATTGTTCAAAGATTTTATACAATAGTTTAACAGAAAAATAAGTATTAAATGTGTCAGTTTTCTATACAATTGAATTGTTTGAATTAACATTAAAATGTAATCCCCTCTTTTTTAGTGCCTGTAGCTCTGAAAGAGAAATCCAAACCAGCGATAACGATAACGAAAAAAGGTAGGGGGAACATTGCAACATATTTTTTTAGAGTTTCCATCTAAAAATGTTTTGGAGTTTGTTTGTTTGTTTGCAGGGTAAACCATGAACATCTGTAGTATTGCTGTGTGATGATGATGGTATTTTTGCTGTTGTTTTAGCTGATGTTCCTAAGGAGAAGAAGGCTGAACCAGTGACTCCCAGGAAAGGTCTGAGTTTGTTTCATTCATTTCTTTCTTCTGTGTACTTCCTACAAACATTTACTTCGTCTACTTCTCCCACAATGGTAATATCACAGCTTTTGTTGTTATAGTGACAACCAAGGCAAAACCAACACCTGCAGAAAAGAAGAAAGGTATAAAGCAGTGTTGTGTTTAGAAGCAGTTTATCATAGATTTTCTTTGTATAAACCTTAATATTTAGATGCTTGGCCGAATCGTGTGATTTCACTGTGGACGACACATCAGTGTATGAGGCTCTTAGCTTTTCATTGTTATTTTCCTTTTAATGTAGAAGCTGTTAAAGACAAAAGGACAAAAGCACCAATGAAAGGTCAACTTAGTTTGTCAGTTTTAAATAGACTGTAGTTTAGCGTTAGTGTTAAAAATATAAGGACACGATTCAGTTGCTCTAAATAATAATGATCATTTTTTCTTTCTTTGTAGAAACCGAGGCCAAACCAGTCGTTGTCAAAAAAGGTAGCACTGAATTAAAACTTTATATCATGCAAGATAACGAAAAAATATATATATATATAATATAAACATTTGTATCATATCTTTAACAGAACCAGTAGCTGCAAAGAAGACGACAAAACCTGTTCCGGAAAAGAAAGGTAAATATGTCCTGATTTTAAATTAAAATCAATATATACTATATATATATACTATATATATAGTGTAAATAATAAATAATATAGTGTAAATAATATACAAATACTGTATATATATTGCATTGATTTGAATGACACTAATATTGTTGCTTTTAATTCAGCTCCTTCTAAAGCAGATTCTGAGGATAAAGTGGAAAAAGTCAAATCTCCACCGAAGAAGAAAGGTAATCTTTAACTCTCATCATTGTTGGTTTTTAGACTCTTCTAATTTACATAAATATGAATTACAAAAATATTTGTTATCCAATACTATCATTTCAATTATTCTAATTTGCACAAGAATGGTCCCAGAAATATAAAACAAAATACTTTGTTTGTTCAGTCAATATTTGTTCACTGAACTACATTTACACCAACCAACTCCTTAAATCCTGCTTGGTGACAAATACACACGTTTTATGTAGTCGCTGTCCTTTAATATGCTCGGTATGATTATTATTTTACCTATTTCACGTTTTCTTTCTGCTGACACAGCACTGATTAAGAAAAAGGTCCATATAAAGAAAGGTACAACAGTGATGCTTCAGTGTGTGTAGCTAATGCTATGTTAGCATCACAGTGATCACGCCACAAAATGTAGTTTTATGCATTTTGTGAACGCTCTGTGTGAATTGAGCGGCAGAAAAACTAGATTAGTTCTATAGACCAAGACGCATGGAATGGTTTCTTTTGGAATGGTTTTTGTTATTGTTTCAATATTTACAGAACAAGAAGCTCCAAAAGCCGAGGAAAAACCTGCTGCGGTGAAGAAAGGTAAAGAGTTGACACTGACACGGACATGACTGTTAACTGATGAGGACGTTATTTCCTTTTCATCAATAATCTGAACTTTTTTTCCCCCTTGACGGCACAGCGGTGCTGAAAGAAAAGATCACACCAGTGCGTGTGAAAAAAGGTACATTAGTGATGCACCACTAGAGGCAGCACTGGTAATCTGATTATTCCCTGTAATCTGATTACCGACTGGCAACCACTGAGAGTTTGTGGATTAGTTGGAGAGGAAAGACCAGAAAATATAAGGATGGAAATCTCCTGAAGAAATTACAATTCAGTGTTTAACTACAATCAATTAGATACAATTTGCTGTCAGCAAGAAAGAAATGGATCACAAACTGTACTGTCTGTGATTAAGTGTCACTTGCTTTAAATAACAATAACAAAATAATAAAAAAGTAGAGTTGAATCCTTGTAAAAATAGTACGTTTAAACTGAAACCTTAAAAATGTCTGCATGGAATTAAATAAAAAAAAAGTTGAATTAGTTTAACAACAGCCTTGACTCTAGGCAAACTTTATCTGTCACAGAGCCTGAGGTTTCAAAACTAAAGGCCAAACCTTCACCGGCAAAGAAAGGTAAAATTAAAGCATATTTTTATTTGATTAACAGTCTTCACTAATTTAGCCAATAAGAGATTTATTTAATTTTACATATAACATATATTACAAAAGACCCATTAAAACATAAATATACTATATATATATATATATAAATCATACTTTCTTTTTTAAATTCCTGAGTACTTTGCAGTAAACTTTTTTCTTTTCTTTTTTCAGAAAAACCAGTTGAGAAGAAAGCAGCCAAAGGTACAGTGTGTGTTCAAATGTTAAATCAAACCACTTGGAAGAAATGAATGTAAACTGTGTATTTCTACAGAGGAGCGAGTCCTTAAAGAGATACAGGCGCCGGCAAAGAAAGGTACCACGGGGTCCACAGTTAAACTGCTCTGACTCAGATACTCTGATTTATTCTTAATGCTTCATTTTCATTTTCCATAGAAAAGCCTGTAGAGAAGAAAGCTCCCAAAGAAGATAAAGCCAAAGGTGCAGTTTAAAAACACACTGTCTTTTACCACCAGGTGTCAGCCTGTGTTTTAATTAACTCTGTTCTCCGTCCAGCAGCAGAGCCTGTCTTATCAGACAGCTTTCTCATGGAAGGTACAAATTCCCTGCCTGTTGATAAAATGTCACACATGTATCACACCTCTAGTGCAATCTTCTCCCTGAGGGACTCTGGGAGAAGAGAGCTCTGCACTGACCTATGCTCTCACTCTCCCTCCGCAGACGAGATGCCCTACTTCCAGTGCTTCTTCGTGGATGAAGACGAGGCCCAGTTTCCCTTCTACGCCTTTTCACCACTTCATATTTAAATCCTCCGACTGATTCTACTCGGAGATGGAAATCCATCAGATTTCCCGACGACGACGACAACGACAATGACGTCACATCACTCTGCTCAAGCTGCCGAAAACGCAGCTGCTGCTTAGGAACCAAAAGGGTTAGGGCAGCAGGGGATTATGGGTGATGGACTGATCACTAACTTCCAGATTTGGTTGAGCTCTCGTACCAATACATGCAGCCACTGTCATTCCTTTTTGTTTGTGTTTTTTGTTTAATATATTTTACAGAGGAGCATTTTGTTAAGCAGTAGCAAAAATCATGAGTTCTGTTGACAGGGTACAACAACAGGGTCACGTTAACGAACCAAGACCGACAAGGGTTTAGTTTCTCTGAGCCTGTGTTTACTTGAAATGTGGCTTGTACAGAAATCTATGTTGAATCGTTAAACGCTCGTTCATGACTCTAATTTAACAACATTCACTTATTCATATAGTGTGGCTTCATGGGTAATCCTTGCCTTATTTTATACAACTTAATCAACCAACCAAGTAGGTGAGACATCTGTGTATAATTCATTATCTCAAGGATTTTTGTGTCACATTTTTCCTCCCTCCCGGGCACAAAAAAGTGAGACTCGGCACCAATTTTTCTTTATCTGATTTTCACGTACTGTTTATCAAAAGGAATGACTACGCAGCGTGTGAGAGAGCTCCCAGTGAATCTGCTGAAACTCTACCTAACATGATGATAATCTTGAAAATTCAATTCAGTGAAACCGCACCATCTGAACTCATATCTGCACCAGCGTCGCTTGAACTTTCAGTTCATTTACCAAGTGTCAGATTACATGTGTAATCACCTGAATAGACCAAAAACAAATCACACTGATACTGCGCAGCGGTCACCGGCTACCTGACTGACGTGAGTACAGTGTCGTAGAAACGTGACATACTGTGGGAAACTTGAGAACAAGTTCAAGAGAGAGGGGGAAACATCAATGACAATGTTTCTAGATTATATTTTCTTTAAGTGTGCAAATCTAAAAAAAAATTGTACTTAAGCCACACAGCCCAGTTAGCATGAACACATTGACGCCAAACAGGTTCACATGGGCTACAGCACATGGACAGTGGGCTAGGATTTGTAAAAACAAAATGACTATGACTGTGTGCTATGTGTAATAGAAATAATTAGAAAAAGTCGTGTGGGCCACATTGGTTACCAGTTGCAATATAGGTGTGCATGGGTAATCTGAGACCCACATGGGTCTCATTTTTAGGCCACACAAGTTGGTTTTGAAGTCAAAACAAAGTGGTTTATATGAAATCATATTTGGACGTATGTGATTATTTTTCATGTGACCACGTTTTATAGACGTCGCCGTGGGCGAAACACACGTCTGTGTGGAGGATCACACTTGTGTAAATGCCACGTTCTATTTTGGGCGAAACACACGTCTGTGTGGATGATCACACTTGTGTAAATGCCACGTTCTACGTCTGTCTGTGTCCAAATCCCAGTGACAAGAACACGGTCAGTGAAGCTGCTCTCCGTGAGAAAACACTGACGTCTTTGTGAGTCTGTGTGATTTGGAGGCAGGATGGCACGGAGCACAGCTTTGATTTCACCAACGTTGGATTTTATTTAAGGAAACTTTCCTGTTAATATGTTTTAAAAGGCGTATTTTATTTCACAGTGACAGAGTTGGCGTCACTTTTACCATGTGAACATGTGCAATACATGGCTTTTTGTTGATCTCTGAGGAGATCACTGAATTTTGTTATATAATATTCATTTAATGAAACAAGTGCATGACGTGTTTGTTGTTTTTAATTTTTGTTCTCCAAAATGTTCCTGTATATGGGTTTTTCCCGAACTAAACTCAACAAAATGGTCACAGAAAAACACTTGAACTTGTGGATCAGGGTTTGATCAGTTCTCATGCGTCTCACAGTTGGTTTTTGTATTACAAATACAAAGCTGTCGTTTAAATAAACATTTTTGTAAATAGCTGAATGAGTGGGAAAATAAAGAACATATTCGAAAAAACAAAATGATATTAATCCCTTGACTGCTGTCGTCTTACCCACCATACATGGGTCTCATATGTAATTACTGGCTGGGTGTCAATTTTCAGATACACCGTCATTGAGCCTGTGAATATTGACAACCTGAGAATAAAACAATGAAAGTGTTCCATTGTTTATCTTGTCTTATTTACCTCTGAATCAATAAACGCTGCGTCCTCACTCCACAAAAATATTTGACCCTCATTACAAATCATTCAACACTATGTCAGTGGGAGGCGGGAGGGGCAGGGGTCGGGGGGTGTTATTTTTTTCTATTTGCACCACAGTGGGAAAATGTCACAGATTTGAGACTAAATCAAATACTTTAGATTCTGACTTATAATTAGAGTAAAACACACATTATATTCCGTAGTATATGTGTGTATATGATGACGTGTGACACAGAGAGCTTGGAGACATACAGCTGAAGTGCTGTATTCACACTAAATCAGCTTAATGAGTCTGAACAGGGGTCAGAGAGGTCGGCTACTCACTACACCAGGAGGAAACTCATGTCACGCTGCTCTGTGGGCGGAGCATCGAGGTCGTGATGACACGGGCTGTCACGACACAACCTGAAGAAGTATCTCCAGGTCAGCCAGTACACACGGCAATACTCAGTACTTAATCACTGTACAGTGACCAGTGGAGGTTTATTTACAAATCTATTTTCAGAACTTTGATTGACAAATACTGGATTGGCCCAAAGTGTCCTGCCCTTTGCCCCCTCCCCCTCCTCCCCCTCCTGTGTGTGGTGCCATCGGCAGCCCTCTGTCACAGTTGGTCCACGCCATCGAATGATGTCTCTACGTAATCACACCACAACTTTAACTAGATAATCCCCTGAGGCCAGTGACATCACCCCCCCACCCCTCCCCCCCTCCTCCGCCTTCTGTCCGTCTGTGGGGTGACTACGGGACATGGGTTCAACGGTGTCACTGGCCGCTGCTCTTCTTCAGCCTGCAGCTGTCACCTGCAGCCCACTCACGACAGGGTCTGCACTGTTCCCACATTCTGGGTCGACTGTATGACAGAGAAGAAGGCAGGAGTGTGTGAACACAGAGGACGTGGTACTGACGAGGACGCTGTGGGGATTTATCACAAGTGACTCTTTAAAAGTTTTCAGTCAAACAGTTTATTTTCCCTTTTTTTTTTTCAGACGCGCAGAATGAAAAAGAACCTCACAGTCAGGATTTCACAAAAAGATCTTAGAAATGTTCACACGTCAGACAATGAATCAAGTGCAAATCATTGAGTACAATAAAAAAACCACAGCTTTAATGTTAGAAATGAACACCTGGATGGTGGGTGAACACAGTGCTGGAATGATTTGCTCTTCCGCGGTGGGAAACTTCAGGCTTTTTCATACGTGCGCACGGCCTGGACACCTCCAAAGGTCAGAGTCTGAGAAGGAAAAAAAAAGAACACATTTATTAACAATGGAACAGAATAATTATAATACAGAGTTTCACATCAGGTGAAATTCCAGAACGTACCATCACCATCTTCCCGTCCTTGATTTCTCTGACAAATCTGGTCTCCTTCCCGTCCCACTTCTGCACCTGCACAAACTTGTCTCCCTCCATGGTGAAGGTCGACTGCAGACAGAAACAGTAAGTTTTTTCTCAGGTCTCATAATCTGACCGCAGGTCAGTTTAATGTCCGTGTCCAGACCAGCACATACCTTGACGTGTCGGTCATCGGGCGTGGTCTCATCAAACTCGTCGCCCAGTTTGGAGGAGATCTCAGTGTTCCTGAAGGTGCTCAGGGTTTTTATCACCACTTTGTCTCCGTCCTGGCCGATCACCACCGTGGGTTTGGTCACGTTTCCCACTTGTCTGGTGGCAAAGCCAACACCTGAGGTAGAATTGAGTCGAGTTTTACTGCAAGTCTTTACTGACGCATCATATACTGTACTGCACTCTGAAATACTAGACTCAACTATACTACACTATATTATACTCCAACACCCGACAGTAAGTCACATGACAGTACAATATGCTACATCAGAAAATACCACAATAAATACAACAATAAATGTAATACTTTATATTACACTGAAATATTCTGTATAACATGGAATATATTTTCATATACACACACACATATATATGAAATATAAAATACGCATATGTATACATATATATGTATTTTTACTATGCTATTATACACTATATTATACTTTACTGCACTACACTATACTATATTTACTGCATAATACTTTAATATATCTTTGTTATATTCTTTATTTAATTACCCAATACTACAATGTACAGTAATACAGATTAGTACAATATACAGTATTACATCAACTGTATCATAACATTGACTCATAGACATTAAATGTGTGCCATACTTTACTACACTTAATCTCAATGAACTGCACTATACCACACGACAATACCAGTACACTTTAAAATTCTTTTTACTGCTCGGGTTTTCTCACCTAGCTCCTTCATGTAGTCATCAAAGTTCTGACTGTCCACCAGGTTCCATGTGCCGCAGAAAGCATCAACCATGTTTGCAGACGTCTAACGGTTTTTCCAGGATTCAGTCCAGTTGTCTCTACGACCTCAGGCTGCTCCCTGTGCAGTGAGTCCCGCACACAGAACGAGGTGCTGCTAAATAATAAACTAACGGGGCGCGGTGACGTCACTGGGCACGTGAAAGCTGATTGGATAGTTCACTTCCCGGCATGGAGGGGAACACAAAGTAGAGGCTTTTTGTATTATCATGGTTTTGGTTTATTAAAAAAAAAACATTGGCGCAACAGTATTTACTACTTAAAAATATAACAATTGAATTCCTGAAAATAATTATATTTTGACGTATAACGTAACGCGAATTTTAAATGTGGTCTAAAAGTGCCTGCTTTTGAATTCCTGAAAATAATTACCGTATATTTTGACGTACAACGTAACGCGTATTTTTAAATGTGGTCTAAAAGTGCCTGCTAACAAATGCTGTTTTTCTTTTTTTGTTTGCTCGTTTAAAAGGCATATTTTTACATTTGTAATTACATGAAAATATTTTAACAGATATAAATGTTTTCTATTATTAAATAAACACAATATATATTTTTTGTCTATACACTAAATACTTCAGAGCAGTTTCTAGCATGCATTTTACCAGTAAAACATCCTATAACTTTAAAATCAGTCGTCTACGATAGCTCCACCGACAGAAAGACAAAAAAAGGTGAAGGTTAAACTTATTAAACACTTATTCTTTGCTGAGAAAGATATTGTGCAGCGTGTAAACATGATTTCAGGATAGATGCGTTATACTTTATTGATAAAATACTTTTGGATGACCGCAACACCAATACAAAAAAAAAATGAAATTACACCAGTACAACCTTACAAATCAATAACACCACAGTAGTCTTTAATAACACCAGTAAATAATGCAAGGTTAAAAAACTGACTATTGCTTTTTCTCACTTGACAAAATTGCTTTCAATGAAAAAAAAAACTTAAAAAAAAAACAATTACAGTAATCTTTATTTAGTTACTTTTCTACTCATTACATCCCTGTAGTCAATGTCCATGGACTTTTTCCTGCATGCAAATTAAATTCTCAACTATTCCTAGATGAAAAAGAGGGATTGACTTAAATACAGATGACAAAACAAGTAAAATAACTGGTTTTATGAAATAATATTTTGCTTTGAAGAGTTTTGTTCCCAGGTTTACCTAGATGCATCATATCTACCGTGACAATAGATAGTATTTTTCCCCTCTTGAATAAAGAATATGTCAGAATTAATAAGGCAAATATAGACCTTTACCCTGCAGACACCTGTGACACCCTTATAAAATAGCCAAAGATTTATAGTCAAAACAGTTCAAACATGGCATCAGTTTGGGAGGAAAGACCACGTGTGAGGGCAGCAGAGGGAGAGTGAGAGGTAGAGTGAGGTAGGGAGAGCAGAGAAGCACTGATGCTCCTCCATGTTAAGGCCCAGTCTCTCTTCTCAGCTGTTTACATAAAGTTAAAGTCCACAGTCAATCAAAACAAAAATTGACATTGATTTCGTCGCAAAATTAAAATGATTATCTTTGAACGGCAGAAAGTTCATCATTAATTTTTATATTTTAATTCATATTCAAAAAGCTTAGCATAATTAGCATGAGAAAAAACAACTTATTTGTTGACTAATGGTAAAAACCAACGACGTTCTTTGACAAAGTACAAAGATTTCGATGTTGAACCAAAGTTAAATCGCAGGTTGATCTTGGACAGATTTTAGTTCAGGGTTTGGGATGAGATGATGATAGTACTAGTGTTGTAGGTTTTGTGCAAAGAGTTATAATAAATTGATTTCTTTATAATACAACCGGCAGTTAATTTTCTTGTTCCATGATTTGTTGTGATTGACAGGGTCAGGTTTACACGTGCTTTCATACGGTATATGAAACAAAAACAAAGTAGAATCAGCTGAACTGTCTAATACTTTTTTGTTTTTACCAGAATATAAGATTATAAACTCACGCTTTTACTCAAAAGACCTTGTTTGTGCAGCAATTCGTAATAATTAAAAATAACACATGATCTAATTTGACTCTTCGTGGATTCACACACAGGTTTCAAAGTGAGCTGAACCAGACGTGTCCTATTTGGCCCAATTCGAAGACCGCGCACATTTTGTACTCTTTTAGGCCAGTAAACTCAAGACATGATTGCAACCAAGTAAACACAAAAAGTTAACATTGCATAGAAATAAAGCTTTTTTTTTTCAAAGTCCATGTGCCTAAAGTGAAAAATCATGTTTGTTTAATTGTTTGGAAAAAAATGGATAAAGAAAAATGGCACATTGCCAGACTAGATTGTCCTAACAGTCCTGTGGCGTCTGTGAGAACGTTCTGGTTCATATACTGTAGGTAGTTGTGATTTGTCCCTGCACACCTGTGAGTCAGGTGCTATCTAAATACCCCTACGTTAATGGACAGCGCCACCTCTGGCTTCCTAGACTTCTTCTGTGATCCGGCTCCGTTACATCCTGCAGCGTTTTCTCTAAACACAAGAAAGAAATGTGTGTGAGAACTAGAAGTAATAGAGTACTTGGTGTTACAAAAAGATACATCTGCAGGAACATTCCAGCACATTCCACCACATGAACAGTGTCCACAGCTGTGATATAGAAAAGACACCCCACCCTTTCCTGCGCTGCTCCACCAGCTCCCTGAGTCTCAGCTGACCCTGCTCATCCTCCTGGGTGGTGAAGTCCCTGTTTTTGTCAATCAAGAGGTTCTGGGAAAATACATCAACAGATTTGTAGTTTAGATTCCAAATAAAAACTACACAGACTGCCTTGGAACAAATACTCCGGAGTATCAGCAGTACCTTCACACCGATTATATCCCCGTCCTTAATGTGAAACGGTGCTCCAAGAAGAGATTCAGTTTTCTTCTTCTTCTTCTTCTTGGAAATCTGCTGGTTCTAGAAGTGGCAAACAGGAGACACTGGCTAGATTTAGATTATCGGAGGATGTCCGATATTATCGGCCCAATATTAGCATATTTTGTAATATCTGCAAGAATCGTTATCGGTTTTTCCTCCGATAATAAAAACCCCTCAACGTAATGACTGGGTTTCACCAAATGATGTGTGCCCTAAAAATAGTTTTGGGGAAAAATGGCTGTATATTAAAGTGAAAGTCACTAGATGGCAGCATTGCAGCTCATTTATTTATACTCATACAGTGGTTTGTACAGTAAATAAATAAATATTACCGGGCCTAAATCGGTATGGGTTGATATCAGGATCGGAAATTAAGTGTTTGGACAATATCGGCATAAAGTTAATATCCGACATCCCTAAAATATAGTCCGGTGAGCATGTCTTCTTACCCAGGTGGAGATTTCTTCCCACACGTGTTTTTCCGGCTGGTGTTTGGCCAACAGCAGAGAGTCAGGTGAGAGGCCGTAGTGTGCGGCCAGAAATGTGCACAGAGATCGAGGTGAAGGATCATGGGAGGCGACCCACACCAGCTCCTCTGGAGGGTAGTAACTCCTCTCCCCTGGTACTCCCATCTTCACAGTTAGTAACAACTCTTTGGGCCTAAGGGAGGTCAAGGAGAACAAGCAACAGTAACAGAGTGAATCAACCCACACGGTGGGACAGGACGAAATCTCTAAGGCTGGACCATAACACTCACCCCAGATCTTCCTCTTTCTGCAGCTGCTGCACACAGAGAGCCGTGCCGCTGCTCAGCTTCAGTTTCCTGGTAAAACATAAACATGAGAACATTTCATATATATAACTTAATGTTAATGAATTATATTAATAAAAAAAACAACCTACCTGAGTGTTTGCTGCTGTCCTCTGAGGATTTGTCCTAACCTCCCTCCCTCTAGCTGCCTGATGCGCATGAACGCAGTGGTTGGGATGCACACACTCTGGAGAGCAGGAAGTGTCAATACCTGGCAGGGAGGTCAAAGAAAATGAAGGAAGATAATGTTTTAGAATCACAGACCAGAGGGACAAAATCAAAATCCTAAGTCTTGAAGTTGACATTTTTTATCACCTGAGTCTTGAGATTCTCCTAAATCTTAAAGTTGACAATTTTTATCACCTGAGTCTTGAGATTCTCCAGTGTTGCCTCCTCTGATATCTCCACCTGTCCTATGTTCCTCAGTTGCACCATGTTCCCCCCACACTGAGGATCTGTTAAAACCTGCAGACGTTCCTCTGCGTGTCCACTGTCAGCCTGTGGACGTTCTGTTTCCATCATATGAGGCTCCAGAAACAGCCACGTGGGCAACGTCAGGAAACCCTGTTAGAAATGAAGGGTCAGTAAAAGTCAGAAGGTCAAGTTCACTAAGAAGCAACATTTGTGGAACTTTAAGACAACAATTTAAAATGTTGAAGAACCTTAGGAGGAAGTTTTCCTTCTGTGACCACCAACGTCTCACCACTGATGATCTTCAGCTCTGACAAAGACATGTCCTGGGAACAGAAACTGGTGTTAAAACCTGCACTGACATCACGACGGAAAACAGAAATAAAAACGTTTTAAACTCTTCGAACATGTGTGAAAACGAACAATAATTAAAAATGTTTAAAACAGTTTGTTTGATAGCAATAACAAATAGATTAATGCCAGGAATCATTGTATAATAGTCCACTTTTTTATGCATTTTTTTTGTTTGTTGAGCATCTTATAATATGCACACCATGAACATCTAGTCTAGGAATGGGCAAACTAAGGCCCGGGGGCAAGTCTAGGAATGGGCAAACTTAGGCCCGGGGGCCGGATGTGGCCCGTTCATCTTTTTAATCCGGCCTCCAAACTTTTCCAAATTATATAATTTATTTATATCATCATTATACTTCTGCCTTTTTCCTGCAATACCTAAGTTTCTCCTATAGATGGCGTAGAAAATGATAAAAACATTTTAGCATTTCAGCCTTTATGCCTGACTTTTACATGTCATTTATCTTAGTTCACACCAACGCTCCATCTCTCTGCTCCTGATCCGCCCCCCTGTTCACTTTTAGGACAATTGTGGTCCACGAGCCAAAAGTTTGCCCACACCGAATCCAGTCAATTGGGAAATATATTATTACTGGACATATAAAAGCACATCTGAATGATTTTTAAAACACACATTTGGGGAAACCAAAGAAGAAATCAAGAAGCCTCTCACCTCATCTACGAGTGGTTCGCCGACTTCTTCACACCAATCCAGTTTCCTCAAATGCCAACAGGAACCTGGAGGATCACAGTGATCTGACATTTACCAACCACAAATACAGTAGCAGCAAAGCATCGTTTGACAGCACTGATCTCAGAAGACGAAAATTAATCCAGATGGTCTGAAAGGGGTCTTCTAGACCAGAGGTCACAAAACACTGAAAGCCAGATCGGTCCAAAGTCACCAGCCATCATTTTGTTGACAATCAAAGTGAAACGATTATTTAATTTGGGAACAGTCAGAGAGAAAGTTTTCTCTCTTAATTACACTAAATCCTCTTGTCTCAGTCACATGATGCACTCAAAAAGAAAACACACAGTTTGAGTCTCAGAGAAAAGTTAAAGTACTGCTTCATCTGGACAGGTCAAGTCTACGTTGAAGACTTTACAATGTGCAGAACTTCATTTCATTTTGATGTTGGTTTCGTTATTTTTTTTCTCTGAAAACACCGTCTAACAAAGGTCGACTTCACCACCTCAACCTCTCTCTGAACTCCACTAGAAAAACAAGACAAGGTAAAAAGAAATGGATTTACCCTCAAGTCCAGCAGCATCCAGCATCACCTTTAGACACTGTAAAAAGAAGGACAGAAAATATAAATTAAACTCAAACAAATCAGGTTAGGTAATCACTGTGAATTATGGTTTTGTTTTTTACCTCTCTGACAGTACAAGACTTTTCCACAATGATGTCCAGCTCAACGCCAGCAGAGGGCGCCGCTCCCACAATAAAATGCAAGAAAAGCTGCAATAAAAACAAACAACCGGTGCCATCAATCACGTCACCTTTTCACACCTCCTGACGTCTCACTCTCCCATCACAGACTTTAGTGTTCCCTCACAGCGTCTCCTCCTTCCACCTGTGCAGCTGCAAATAACCATGATTTATTGGTGATTTCACATAAAAAGGCACACACCTGCGATGACCTGGGGGCATTCCCCGGACAGAGGATCAGAGTGGTCATGAGTCGCACCCCCGCATCCCGAACGCTCAGCTCCTCGCACACTGTCAGGGCGAAGCAGAGAATTAGACAGTGGCACCTGAGTGGAGGTTTGCCACCACTTCAAAGACGGATGATGAGAGGAGAAATTACAAGCAGGGATAGTACCTTTAACACACACACACAGACACACAGACACACACAACAAGGTATAGCAGTGAAGTGAGTGTGTTTTAATATTGAAGGGAAAATAAAGGGGGATTTCCACATAGTAAACTACACCTCAGGTTATAAATGACAGAGTACCTGGAGAAAGGAGTTTCCCAGTGCAGTCCACCTGCCGCAGACAGTACTCCACACCTGGACAGAGACACAGAAATGTAAAAAAAAAAAAAATATATATATATATAAAATGTAAAAAAAAAAAAAATATATATATATATAAAATGTAAAAAAAAAAAAAAAATATATATTTATTTATAAAATGAAAAAAAAAAAAAAAATATATATTTATTTATAAAATGAAAAAAAAAAAAAAATATATATTTATTTATAAAATGAAAAAAAAAAAAAAAAAATGTAAAAAACATGGAGCATTTAAAAGTTGGGACAACCATTTTCATCACACAAGACAATTGTAATATATATACATATATCCCTGACAATGTGTTTATCTGGAAAGGGAAAAAAAATCTTAAGTACATGTCATCACATCTACTACAGTACATTCTCCATATGGATCGTTTTCGGAACGTCTGAACCCTCGTACTTGTCATCAAAAACTGCTTGGGGGTGAGGGGATGTGGGGGGGGGGATGGGGTGAATTCATGCCTCGTCAAACTATGTAAACAAATTCCTGACCCTGACTCTGATTAGAATCATCAGGGAATCCCTTACAGACATGTACAAATATGTGCAGTAGTGAGTGTTGGACTGGGCGTCTTGCCTGGAGGCTCCTCCTGTAGCTGCAGCTCCTCCTGCAGCTGCAGCTCCTCCACGGCTCTGAGCTTCACCTCACACAGCAGCTGTGAACGAAGCAGAGGCACAGAGCGTATCACGTCAGGTTAGGACAGACGAAGAACAACAACAGAAATAATCCATAAAGTGATGGCTGACCGTGTTCCCTGCTGCTGGAACCTTGACTCTCCTCCTCTCATTCCCAGGATCTCCCTCTCCTCCTCCTCCTCCTCCTCCTCCTCCTCCCCCATGTGGCTGAAACTCCACCTGCAGCCAGCGGCAGTCAGACGGTGTGGTCACCGTGATGACATCACCGTCTCTGGTGAAGACACTGAACAGAGCAGAGAAAGGCAGTGTGGAGTGAATGACGTAAATATCATATCATATAGTCATATTTAATGTTAACATCCTCCAGAATGTTACAGGTAAAGTTCACAGCTTATTTACAATTGATGACTTACTGATATTTATATTCATTTCTGACTAGTTCTTGTAATAGATTTATTACTAAAACATTCACTCGTTCTATTGTGCAGTTTTGAATTGAGTTGGACCAGATTTTCAAAACAAAGTCATCTGAGCCACACATTTGGGTTTGAGTGGACCAAACCATATCATTAATTAATAAAATGATTATTTTCAGCCCATGCACGCTTTAGAAAATAAAAACATCAATGTAAACCCTAGGGTTTGTGGAAAAATAAAGTATTTGTTTGTCCATAAAAAGTGAAACTGGATTTTAAAGGACATTATTCATAGTAGCTTTGAGCAGGAGATGATGCTCTACAGTCAACCGCTAACACAAAAGATGACACACGTGGCTTTAATGTTGCTCAGCTACGGAAAAGGTTCCCCTCATGTCCGTCTGTTCTCATGTAGAACTGTACCAACAGTGATTCTCTTCATATATTTATGAAATGACCTTAGACCCGGCCACTCCAAGCTTGTGCAGATTTCCTACCTGCTGTCCAAGGACCGCGGCTCCAGCACCAGCAGAGCGTCTCCATCCTTCAGCGACAGCTCCTTCAGCGTCCGCTGCATGTCAGCAGGAGGAAACACCCTCCATCCACTTGCACCTCCTCCCTCTCCTGCTCCCTGCTCTGCTCTTTTTCCTCCCTTATGCTCCTGGCAGAGCAGGCTGTCCTTGGCCTCCCCCAGGGCCTCCTTCACCTCTTCAAGTGTCACCCCTCCGGAAAAACCTCGGGCCTCCTTCTTCAGTCCTGGTCCTCCGTTTTCAAAAGCACCTCCTGTTTCTCTACAGTCCAGACCATTCACCACCTCCTGCTCCTCCTCTTCTTCTTCTTCTTCCAAAAAGGGTCGGACCACGGTCAGCAGCACTGGCTCCCACTCCGCCCCAGAGAGGACGGTTTCCCCACACACCTGAGGAGAGATGACAACATTGACCGGCGGTTCAGTTTGACCACAGCTCAAGAGTTCAACGCAACAACAGAGAACAGGTTTCCTTCACCTCTCTGCCATTCCACACAAATAGGTCAGTGTTTGTGTGGATTCCTGCACTGTACAGTGAGACGCTGTCATCTGGAATGAAGAACAGTCGATTAGAATCAATCACTAAACTGCCGTATGGTGGTTTTTCCTGCAGTGTCTCAACCTGTGAGAGTGTTGTAGAGGCCCTGCAGCGTCTCAACCTGTGAGAGTGTTGTAGAGGTGAAGACCAGCTGGGAGACTCCGGGTCACGGTCAAAGCCATGTCTCCCTCCCACAGCTCCTGCATCTGAACAGATGTGAAGACAAAATGTTCAGTTCACCCAGAGACGAGCAGAGCCCCCCCGCCCCCTCCACAGAGAAAATGAAGTCACCTGGTAAATGGCTAACCGCAGGTCACCCACAGTCTTCCTGCGGTCAAAGCTGAGGTTGGTGTTCCCACTCTGGTCTTTGTGTGTTGGCTGCAGGGCTCCGTTCTCCAGGCGATAAGAGGTAACCAGGTGCAAACGCAGCTCCACGGTGTTATTGGTGGCGTCGAACTTCTCACTGCCAAAAACAAGAAGATCAAAATACATTTTATGCATTTATTTTTGAAACTCCCCTTAATTAAAATACCGTTTAATAGAGATTGGATTTTTTTTTTCTTCTCTAAAAAAAATCTAATAAACTTCATGGCATATGAGAGAAGAAAAAAAAAAAAAACCGTACCGTAACTCTTGCACTCTGGCGTTCTCCTCCTGGGCCACTTGCACGAGATGAGAAGGAACTTTATACTGAGGATTTTTCAAGGCTGAAAATTTATTAAAAAAAATTTTAAAAACCACATAGTATGTATGGAAACATTGGCAAATGAAACTAAACATTCCTAACAATTACCCAAATCTTGGAAACGCCTAGAATTCAAGTAATTTATTAAAATAATTACTTATAAAAATAAAATTAACTATTATTTTTGAAATTACGATTAAAATCACCACAAACAATCTTTAAACAACCGTATTGTTTCACTTGCATGAATATATATTTAGTTTAAATAAAATGCGTTATATAAAAATATCCGAGCTGGCACATCTTGATTGACAGCTGCGATCACGTGACTAAAAAAAAAAAAAGCTCCGGGGTCACCAGAAATTTGTGATGTCAAAATAGGAACAAATGTCAAAAAAAAGGTTGGGACCCTCTGATTGGTGGGTTTTCAGTAATCAAGTACTTTGTTCGTCACAAACTCATTCACCTTCAGTGGGTCTGTGCAGCTGTGTTTTCCTGTAGAACAGCATGTAGGCGCTTTCTTTGCCTTGGAACTGCTTCTCTATGTCAGACTGTCTGATGGAGGTCACTGTGGAGTCGTTCAGGTCAAACCAGTGGCTACCCTGCTGACAGACGGGGGGAACCATGGACGGAAACTGACATTACAGACCGAGAAATCAAAAGTGAGTGGAAGAGTGAAAACCATCCTATAATGTGAATTGTTTTAATATGAATTTGAGCTGCAGTAACTGTAGTTTTACTGCTTCAAATTCTTCAAAGAAACATATTGAACTCTAACAGTGTAAAAGGTGAGCGTTCTTAAATTTAGTCTGAAGTTCTTTAATACCTCAGGTTCAGGTTCTGGTTCTGTGTTCAACCTGTGGTCCGTGCCTCGCTGCTGCTGTTGGGCAGATTCCATGTCTGACACTGTTGAAGGATCTGACTCTGTCATCTCATTTCCTGAGGCTGAGGAGACTGGACTTGGCAGGTTTGCTCTCAGGGCAACTCTGGTTCCATTTGACACCAACATGAACACTTCTTTGTGGGACTGCAGGAACTACAGAAAACAAAAAAAGAAAAGAAAACACATACAGTGGTAAGAAATTGAATATCAAACATGAGAAAAAAAAAACATTTCAGGACAAACCTCTGTACCTTTCCTATTGGCCCGTGTTCTTTTCGGAACTTTTTGCTCCAGGATAAACCAATCTTTTCCATGAGTTTCTGACCGAGCTGATCGAGCAGAACGCTCTTCGTTGGCTCCTAGAAGACAGGAAACAAACATCTTTTGTGACATTTTTCCTATAGCAGCGACTCATCAAAGAATAAGGGAAAAGGAGAGAGAAAAATGCAGTTGTACCTGAGAAATTACGGCAGTAAGGACAGACAGCGGGTCGTCTTCTTGTAGTTTTGGCTCAGACAAATCTTTGGCCTCATCCTTGGCTTTTTTCTGACTTCTAGGTTTGCAGTCTTCTTCCTCCTGACGACAACACACAAAGAGTCATAAATAAATAATGTTAAGACATTAGAAAAATATTCGCAGATATTCTTATTTTTCTCTTATTCTGCCTACAGGTGGCTCCCAATTGCCCATCTGGTCAATGTCCCTGATGTAGACATGGTAATGACCCCCGTAACAGCCGCCCTTATGGATGATCACAGAGGATAATTCGTAGCAGTAGTCAGAGTCCTCTCCATCTGTCTGTAATGAATAGAAAAAAACATAACTTGACATTTTCACATGTTAAAATATTTAATTTTTTAAGGCTAAACAAATCGGTCGTCCACCTGTTCACAAAAGGGTCGCAGGTTGATGCTGAAGGGGAAGCTGTAGCGTCCCGTCTCTTTGTACCGCTCGCATTTGGCAAAATCAAAGCTGAATCTCAGCAGAGACATCGTCATGAACGGAGGGAGCTTCTTCAGTTTGGCAGACTGAACCACGACAAAGACAGAAGACACATAGAGACGTGCTTTATAAAGGGGTCCAATAGGTAGAGCACGATCCATCGGTAGATCGCAAAGTGAGCGCTGGTAGATCATGACCAATTCAATTAAAATTAAAAGTACGGATGTACTTCTGTGTTTAAATGCTAATCACTAGGACTAAAGTAAAACTGTATATTCAGTTTATATGAGTAAATTACACACCTTTTATAAACATTAACAGAAACTGGAAGCTGACCTTGGCAGCAGTGACCAGCGTGTCACACTGTGCACAGCGGTACAGGTTGTTGCCTTCAAACAACTCTTCCTCCACAAACATGTTCCACAGAGCTTCCTCCAGGCTGGACAGACCACAAACACACACAGTCAGGTCCAAGAAGTCCTCCTGGAGAAGATCCAAATATACGTTGTTGATAATACTCTGTCCCAGCTGTTTTTACTACGTCAGTACTTTAAAACATACTTGGTCAAGACAAAGGTCTTTCTGAACATTTGGACACACCTGTCTCTGACTGACATTGCCACATTCCTTGCAGACAATGCTGTTGACAATGGTCCCGTGGTAGAGCTGTTGAATAAATGCACTACCAGTGGTCCCCACAAGGGAGTGCTCTAAAGCACTGAACAGAATCCTGTTCAGCTCCTGCACATCGTGCTGATTTGTTCCCTAAAAGATTTAAAAAAAACAGAAATTTTGAATTTGAATTTATTTACTCAGTTGTTACTCACAAAAAACAGAAATTTTGAATTTATTTACTCAGTTGTTACTCAAACATTTATTCAGTAGAGACTTTGAGGAAATTCGTAGTAAAGTCTTAAAAGACAAAGAAAATCTTGCACAACCAAAGCACGAGCTGAGTCCTTTTATCTTTGTGACCAACAGAAATAATGTAAACACACCTCACTACTGTTCCAACCAAAGCTGTGCGTGAGGTCTGCCGTGGAGGCGCTCTGCTGGTCGACCAATAACAGACGAGCGAACAGTCTCTGGAGCTCCAGCGGGATCACTCTCACCTGAGGTGAAGGAGGAGGAGGTCAAGTCTTAATGCACACAACAGAATACATGGAGCATGTGTGTGGCTTCACTTTCAGTGGACAGTAGGTAAGAACAGTAGATGGTATGAATTTAACAAAATCATAGTGTTTTCAATAAATGCAGATAGAGTGGAAGTACAGTAGATGGTATGAATTTAACAAAGTCATAGTGTTTTCAATAAATGCAGATAGTTTGAAAATTATATTTAAAAAAAAAACACCCAGGTGGCTCTACTTTTGAGTAATCTGATATTTGTACCTTGGCCCCAGGTTTGTCTTTGTCTTCCAGGCATCCTAATTCTTCTGGCCCCAAACTGAAAAGCTCCTCTGCGAGGTACACAACAAATGATGGACAGGAAAAAAATATTCAAACAATCGGGGTAATTAAAGATTACAAGTTAAATCAATGATTTCGAGGACAATTGTCATGAGTACCTTTACATTGTTTGCGTAAACAATTAAGCAACTGGATTCAAACCTGCAACCTAGTGTATTTTCTACCCAACAATTGTTAACTTGGTAGTATAATGGATTACTGGGTAAACAGGACTTTTGTTTAGCTAAATGAATGTCCAACCTTGTTTTCGTGAGGCTACAATGCGCAAAACCGAGGACGTAGAAATAAAACATTAACACCGGAACTTGCTTCACCTCTGAATTCTGGTGTGAAGAGCAGGGTCTGGAGCAGAGAGTTCAGGTAACACGTCCCACCCTGGTTCTTGATGCCGCACAGATTGCTTCTTCCTCGGGGTGGAGGTGGCTCCTCCGCTGCCTTTGTCGTTCTTCCTTTTAATGAGGAGGACGAAGAGAAGTCTTCGTCCTCCTCTTCCTCGAAAAGATTCCCAAACATACCTGATCTGTTCTTTTAAAAACTCTTCGCTGCTCAGTTTCTCTCAATAATTCACTAAACGCAGTGTGTTAGCACGCCGACGTGCCCTCTCTTGCTATCTCATCTTTGTCTTCCCCAGTTCTCTGTTGACAATGGCCGGGCTCACTCTGAAATAACAAGACTTCACCGGGCTGAACATAGCGACGAATACAGGTTATTTATATAGAAGGCCAAGGGCTCGTGGTTGTAATATCACTTGCCTGACTTAGCCTAGCAGCTAATTATCAATAGCAGGACACTGACAGGTCAGCAGAAACGTGAAAAATCTCACTGTGTTCAACAGTCTTTTTCTCCACGCTGTCATATAAAAGGCTCCACAAACATAAACTCTAAACACAATTGTTTTAGATGTATTCAGAAAAGCTCCTGTCACCGGTTATCTCGTCCTCTAGAGGCTTTAAGGCAGTTAACAAACCAAATGTAAATACAAAAAGCCTCGGTGAACTGTAGGCAGCCATGTTTTTTCTGCTGGGTAAATGGCGCGCAGTATTGTGGGATTTGTAGTATTAGACTAGCTGGTTTTGTTTCGCTCAATTCAATACAATTCAAATAAATGTGTTTGTCCCCAGGGAATACATACGTGAAGTAAAAACAACGTAAGAATAGAAGTGCTGTACAACTTGTACAGGTTTTTGTGGTAGGTCTAATGAAAACAAATGGCTTGATGCTAAACAGAGACATCTAGAGGTGTGTATTTACCTCAACGTTATATAACACAGGCATTTTCTAAAACATAACTCTAGCTTTATACCTCATAACATTTGATCAAATCTAAGTAGTATTTTACTGGAAAAGATGCCCCAGCAGGTGGCAGTCGGGACACTTGAAGAAAGTAGAGTTGCTACTCAAAACAAAACAAAAAATTAGTTACTACTATCAAGAAACGCCTTCTTTTGACAAGTAACACTACACTTTCTTTTAGGGGAGAAGTTTGAAACAATTTCACCAAAGGTATAAATAAAGTATTTCGATTTTGAAAAACAGCATTTCCCATCATTCTAGAGGTTCTTAGGGATCCCGCAAGGGTCTTGTGGTTTCTTGTGTCTGTCACCAGACATTATTGTTGCTGCCAGTTTTATAGGGCTTGGTAGTTATGTGCCCAGCGGACATGTTTGCAGGGCTGCATGCCAGTCAGAGACTTCAGTATGAATCCAGTTCACCACGAAAATACCTGGAATCAAAGCTTGTTTACTTCAGGGTATCCTCATCAACCCTGTGTTCTTACTGAAAATAGCTGACAGTTAGCCAAAGGAAAAACCAGGTGTCTCTCAAATTAGAGGTGATTTATTGTAATAACAATAATTTACTTTATTTTTACACAAACACACACATATATAATTCATGCAATCAGCAGAAAAACACATCAATCAATGCAATTTTATTTGACAGAACAGATTCCAGCAGATAAAACATTAAATATCGTTTTAATTTAGACAGCTTTTACACAATGATTGGACGATTATGTCTTACACCGACTACAAAAAAAACAAAAAAAAAACAAGTAGGAATTATCTAATACAAATGCTGTGCGTACCTTTTATGAGAAACGGTAGTTCGTGTGCGGCCATTTAATGTAGGCTCCGAGCCAAAATTACTATGTGGGCCATTAAGTGGACTGCCAGTTAATCTCCTTATTTCCCCCCAAATCATGACCCAAAATGCAAATGCAGTAGTTTCCTGATCAAAGGGATAAAATGACAACTTTACTGCAGCTACTGCTTAAAGGAAATTTACAACACCGTTCAGATTTACTCAAAGGATTGTCCTTCGATTCATTCTGCAAAAGCCAACAATAACAACGCCAGTGGACTTGTCCAATCATGTCAATACATCTGAATGAAGTACAACCTCGGCTGCACATTATGTCTGCAAATTTGATGTAGTTTATGCGAAGGCAGACAAACACTTATATAAAGGCATTTTAATGTAACTACATTTTTAAAACAGAATCAAGAAAATATATTCTCTCTCTCTCTCATGGAAAATGGTACTGTATTTACAGTCTCTCTCTATCTCTCTCTCTCTCTCTGTTCTACACACACACACATACACGCACACACATGCACAGATCCACAAAGCTGTACACCTCCTCTTTATCTAATATGTTTTTAGCCTGAAGACTTTGGAGAGCGGAGCTTTGGCACTGGAGTAGATCAGATATGAATCTCCTTTAGAGGTGAAAAACTCCCAGTCACTACACCCAATGGTTGGAAGCCAATGAATAGGAACAAAGCCTTCATATCCTTGCCACCTATAAACAAACACAAAGGACTATTACAGTATCAGGAAAATTAAAACGGTATTGCATTAGCTTAACAGCGGCTTAAGTGAAAAAGAACAAGTGCCACGGGCCATTTCCCAGTTCCTATTGACTCTTTTCATGTCAGAAGTGCTGCTGTGCGTTCACGCGCCTGTCTCACAGGAAGGAAATAAATCTACATTACAACAGTATATGTTCACCAGATGATTTCAGCGCTATTTTAAAGGGCAGTCATGACTGAACTATTTATTACTGGGAGTTGCCCTGATGACAAGTTGATTACCTGTAGAGAATGCTGTTAAGGGAGTAGGATTCTCCATTGAATGAGTTAGCGACAATGAGAAAATGTTCCTCCCCGAGACTGAAGAACTCCCAGTCCAGGGCACTGCGGCGACAGAATGGTAGGCATTAGTTAGAACTGGATGACACCAATGCAAATGACTAAAGCTAAATTATTGTGAACACAGGAAAATGAATGAAGAATGTACTCCAATGTTGAATGTGTCTCTGTGTCAAACCTGTAGGTGATGATGTCCTGGAAGCGGACGAAGATCTGTCCTTTCATGTCCAGTTCGTAGATGGTGGAGTTGATAGCATATCGACTGGGTTCATTACCATGGAGTCTGTGTCCGTTAGCAACGACAAGGAAGACTCTGCTGCCAATCTGGAACATTTCCCAGTCAGTGGCACAGAATGTCTAGGATTTAAAAAAAAGAAATGTTAGGGAATTATTTTATTTTGATTGGTTCAATATTTTTGTATTTCTGGCCATATTCAAACTGTTATAAGAAATGGATGATGTATGGACAAAATGACAAAAATAAAAAAGTAATATTTGGGAGTTATTTAACAAATGTAGATTGTTCAGGATAAAAACATTGGACTAAAATGTAAAATGTAAAAAAAAAAACTCACTTTAAAAAATAAAATCTGTTTAAGTGTCTGATATACAACTGCCTCAAGGTGTTCTTGTGGACCCCCATATTCACCTATGAAGTTCCCCCAAATCACTTCCTCCTTATCGTTTCCAGCTATCAATGTGTTCTCACACCTTTCTCAATTTTTATCAGCTCATCCAATCAACGTAAGATTGCGATCTAATCGGACGCAATCTCAGAAAGGAGGAAATTAATCAAACAATGCAAAACATCACATTGAATCAGCAACCGCGTCCCGCTCCAAACACATCTCTATTGTTCCTCATCCTCTTAAAGTTGACAGTTTAAAGGTCACGTGTTGTGGCGTTAGTCCATCGCTACCTTAATCGTCTGGAACGGCTGAAAGCGTCCATTGAATGTGGCGTTTGTCCATCGCTACCTTAATTGTCTGGAACGGCTGAAAGCGTCCATTGACCCAAACGTAGATGACGGAGTCGACAGAAGTGGTGACGCCGTTGAAGGCATTGGCGACCACCAGGAAATGGTACGGTCCAACAGTGAAGAACTCCCAGTCGTAGGCTCCCGATGTCGGCAGCAACTGGTGAATCTCAAAGGACTTTCGTGTCCTGTTCCACTTGTAGATGACACTGTTTATGGTGTGATTGTTGTTACCTGAGACAATCAAAAAGAAAAAATTGACCAATTTTTATCATTCCAAAAGGGAAAAATAGGAAAATGAATGTGTGTGGTTAGTTTTTAAAGTTAACAAGAACATTTTCACAAGTTATCAATGTGTGATTGACAGCTGGACTGTCTGTTATGAGCCTGGCTACAGGCGACATCGTTTTGTATCACTGTGCACCATCTCAAATCATTTCAGTGTTTTATTATCTGTTTTCTGCTAAATAGGATTTTAAATGGAAAAATTCCATGTTTTGAACCAGGCCAGAGCTTGAGCTGAAAAAAAATACTTATTACTTATTAAATACTTATTGTCACATTCTTTGACATTATTACTGTGTTTCATTTGCTGTGATAGCTTAATTCTACAGTCAAGAAAATAAGATACAGCTACGAGCCTGTTTTAGAGTCAGGTCTTGATAAAGATCAAAATATGTGTTATTACATATACCATAAAAACTGAAAACGACGCCCACGGGCGAGACAACCACAGTTCAGCTCAGTCTGTAGTAGGTATCTGTACTACTTAGAAAGAAAAAATGTCTTTGCTTGAAGGTAACAATTTTGTCTCACTTTGACTATTGGAACTGATCCAAAGTTGGTTGATTTAAAATGGAAGAAAGTAATTGGACTTGCTTCAAACCCATAGAGGAAAAACTCATTCACACTGTAAAATTAGTTTAATTAAAATTTTTACCTAGTCTGTGATTGGCTACTGCAAGATAGTTTTGTCGATTGATGGTAAAGGCCTCCCAGTCTCGAGCACAAAAGGTCTGCAGGGACTGGAACCGCACAAACTGTTTTCTTTTCTTGCTCCACTTGTAAATGACAGAAAACTCCATCTGTGACTCAAAACGATTGTATGTCCCTCCTCCAGAGTTGGACACCACCAGAAACACCTAGGTCGGAGACAGACAAACACACAGTGGATGTGTTCAAATGTTAAGTCTGTGACACCTAGAACAGTTTTCTTCTTTCTTCTTCGCTTTCTTACCTTCTTCCCTATGTTAAAGTGCCTCCATGCCAGGGCTTCGTGAGTGGAGATATTCTGGTAAAGTTTAAACCGAGAGTGAGTCCACAGGTACACGGCAGAACCAGAGGCTTTGGATCTGTGGGCCATAGCAGCCATCAAACCCATTCCAGGGACCTGGAAAACCTTGATTGAAAACATTACAATTATTGAAACTAAAAGCAATTGAATCCCTTTGGTAACATTAGAAACTGAAACAACAGAGAACATCATTCACAGCTCTGAGTGCCTTCCTGGTGACCTCAACCTCCTCACCCCACAACATTACTTCACTTTGTTTTGGATTAATACTTTGCCAAATGCATTTCATAATCGATGTATTTGAAGTCATGCGATATCAAAAGAATTATATCTTCCAAAATTATGACTGCATCCTGAACCACGACGATGCTCGGTGCCAATGCAGAAGTGCTAAAAAACAAACTGTAACCTGAGGAGAACTGACATAATATTGAAATCAGGAATGTTGGACCCCGGGGCCACTCACACTGTGACATTTGGACTGGATTTATGTGGCCTATGACATTTATGGGTAAAATCATTTTTATTGCCCACCAACCTACTACCAAGAAGTTTGTTTAAATGTAGTAAAATGTGTCTTCAGGGTGTTTTGGATCACTTTTAGGACCATTTATTTTAATACTCAAAAATACTTACTATAATTTAACTAACTATTAGTAACTTCTGGGCTAATCATGTCTACATTTTAGGGCAGTTTTGCTGTTAACTTTGCACTGGTATAAACAACAAACACATAATATTACACAGCTTCTGAAACAATAGTATACATTTACCTCAATGTCGTGTGTCTCTGAGCTGGTGGTAAGGACCTGATGCTCCTGCACGTAGTCCAACCTTTTGCGATCTGTGAAGATTTTAAATTGCTAATTATCAATAACGACATATCATTTTATTTTCTGGTCCTCTAGAGCAGTGGTTCTCAAACTTTTTATACTCTGTACCACCTGAGAAAACATTGATCTCTCTGAGTACCACCATGATGACCAACATTAGAATATAGCAGCGTAGGCCTTCACTGTTAGCTTCCACCACAGGAGAGATGCTTATAAAAGTTTATACAGATGTTTATATTGTTGTATTGTATTGTATGTTGTATTAATTGTCCATGGTATGTTTCAGATTTTTTCACTTGAAAATGTAAATGTCAAAATATAAATTTTCCCAGCGTACCACTGTGCTTTCTAGTGGTACGCGTACCAGAGTTTGAGAACCACTGCGCTAGAGGACCAGTGTGGTATTCTTATCTGCAGTGGAACTGATGTTCCCTGCTATTTTACAATGTATTTCCAGGTAAAATTGTTGAGGAAAAAATAAAGTAGACTCATTGTGTGACTCATGACTGAATAAATTCATTCACTACAGCACGTGTATTTGCAGCACTTCTTAAAACATACATTTTTGAAGCCCATTCTCACTCTTGGCGCTTGACCCTCAGGGTCACCTAGAAATACCCTTGACCCTTGGGGGTCAAGCATCTTGCACAATGACACAGGTGCATGTTGACCAGTGGAGGCTGGGATCAAACCCCAGACCCTCTGGCTAAATGATAAAAACAGTTTGACATTCCTTTCGAGCTCAGCTTAAAAATCATAAACAGGACAAACGTGTGTGTGTGTGTTACTCACCCTCCAGCACAGTGATCCACCCTGTGCCATCGCACAGATAAAGGCCTTTCTTGACAGGGTTGAACCACAGCTGACCCTGTAGCTGATCTGAGCAGGAACGTTCCAGGGCCACTGACACTCGCTCCTCCTTTTCTGTCAGGACAGATCAGACGTTACAGAGGAAGGAAGAGGAGTGAGAAAAGATCCACATAAATCAATTTAATGTCTTGTAAATTGCGAGTTACCGTAGGAAGTCTGATGGGTGCCTCCCTGCCTCCTCTTGATGGGCAGGTCTAAGAGGAGTGGTGGTACTGACAGAGCTGCTAGGTGGGAATCAGGGGACGGACAGACCTGATCGGTCGCATCCAAGCCTGGCACTAACACCACCTGTCTGATTAAACCCTGTGCAGGGGCAGCACACAGACATTGAACAACTCTTTTCATGACAGTAACTGAAGCATATTTTTTACAGTTAACTAAAGTGTCAAAATAGCATCTTTCTTTGGGGAAATGTGGTTTAAAATATTTTTTTTTATTAAGTGTCCTATAACTAGAGAGTGTGAATTGTTGTTTTTATTACACTGAAGCAGGGGTCTGAAATCTGTGGCTCCTGAGCCACATGCAACTCTTTAGCCTTTTTGCACTGGTCCGTGTGAGATTGTATGTAAACCTCCATGCACATACTCTATGTCCATTTAGACAGTAGCTGTGCACTTATCACAGACTGTCAGATACACTAAAATTTCAGCTTGCTTTCAAACAGCAAAACAACACAGCGTCAGTGTCCTCTTCAGCTGGATGTCACCGTGTAACAGTTGAAACCACAGTTAACAGTCAACGCCTTTCTACAACACTTTCTACTTTTTTCATGGTTGAAATGTTTATGTGGCTCTTGGTGAATTCTACTTGGCTGTAAATCCCTAAAAATGTCTCGTTCTGATGCAGAGCCCTGCAGGAGAAGGAACATTTTTCAGGTTTCATCACCATGTTGGATCCTTAGCCTACAGAAAACACTCACGAAACATGTTCATATTCCACTGATTTCAACACTAGATGCTGCTAAATATTACATGATGGACTACTAAAGTTACTAAAAGTAAATAAATGTCTTACTGAAAACAGGCCTTTCCATCGTCCTCGATTACCAATGTGGAATCTGGATCCCTGGATGTTGAGGTCCGAGGGAAACGGATGGCTGGGAACTCTGTTTGCAATTAAGAGATTCGAAAATATTTTTAATAGTTGAAGTCGGGCAGCACAATTATCCATCTGCTTTGTGTTTTTGGGACAGAGACAGGAAAATATAAGGCATGAGGAGTATCATGGAGCAGGAACAGTGATATTCCTTTTGTGTGCCAGAGGGAATTTCCACTTGAAACCATCCATCACACACTGTCAGCCACAATGATATAGCTGCAGGGTGACAGCAGATTTGGAGCAGTGTGACTGTATTGTGGTGAAGGATCTACTATCCCCCCAGGACACGGAGAGCAGCAGGAAGAGAGGATGGTGTACAGGAGGCAGACAGAATAGCCGCAGAGCCGACGGAAAACAGACAGAATCACACAAGGGGAACATGGGAACATGAACTCACATTTCCAGTGGAACATCACAGTCCACCGTCAGCCTGGCGTATTCGCCCGCAATGTTCAAAACCACGGTGTGCCACTTGTTATCGGCCAGTTTAGTGCCTCGGAACACCCAGTGCTCCACCCGCCCTCTGTGACCTTTGAAGAGGAAGTGCAGACTCTTTCTGGAAAACCTCAGTCCCAGGATGATCCGTCCACGTTCCTCATTACTTTTGTCTTGCTTCTCCTTGCCTTGGGTTCTCTCTTCACCTTCTACTTCATCCGCCGTCGTGCTTCTCCTCTGGTGACTTTTAACAAGGCTTCCATTATTGTCATTCTCTGTTTTTGTTCCCATCAGAGAGAATATGTATTCATTTCTCTGTTTAAAAAAAAGAAAACTGTTTTAGAGAAAAAGCTGAAACAATTTCAGTTGGAACTCTTCATAGTAATACAGTCATTAAAAAAATAAAGACCCCTCCCACGGTGAAGGGTCTTCACCTTCTGATTGACACAACACTTTTTAATAATGGTCTTGTTAACTTAAAAAAAATAACCTTCTAAAAACAAACCACACAACACAGCAATTGGCCTCTACTATTTAAATAGTTGCGTAAATAGTAAGTGTTTCTTCACCCTGTAGGTGGCAGCATGAGAAGTGTTTCTTCACCCTGTAGGTGGCAGTAGACATCTCAAAAGAATTGGCCAGCTGCCAGTCATATTAAAGAAACTGTAGGAAGTGTAGATGATGGATACTTTAGTCATAATATTTAACATTTATGATTAAAGGATGACTAAAGAACATTTATATTTTTAATTTTTTTTTAAATGTGATGATCTATAGACGTATGAGACCCTTTTTGTGATCTACCGGTAGATGGAGATCTACTTATTGGGGACCCCTGATCTGAACAAAACCTTTTTTTCAATTCTTGACATGATTTTAAGATAATGTAAGTTATCTGTATAAGTAACTGTAGTGTAATGTAGATTTCTTTATCTTTATTTTATGTATAAGAAAAGGCAAGATTTTCTCCCAGCATTGTTGAATATGTACAGCTTTAAAGATCAGCAGGTTGTTTAGTGCTCAAGTGACCAGCAGGGGCAGCACCTCCTCCACTGGTCCAGCCTTGAAGACAAATTAGTTCAGAGCTTTAGATTTAAGTTGAAAAATGTTCTAACAACATTCTTACATGAATGGATATACATAGAATGAGTTGTTTTTACCTTTTAAAAAACTTTTTTTTAGAAAGAGCTTTTTAGAAAATCATCAATGCTGAGGCTTAGTAAAATTACCCAAAACTGAAAAAAAATCCTTTTTTTATTTTTGCTGTACTATTTAATGTAATTTTACAATTTAGTGAAGAGTTTTTTCCCCCTGTTCCTCTGACTGACATTGTTCCTCTGTAACAATGTCAGGATTTCCACAGATGTTCACCTTTTGAGCGATGTGCGTGACTTTTAACGTCACAACAATTGAGAATTCTTTCGGGAAGAGGTCACAGTTTGCCAGCAGCTGCGAGGATGGGAAGCTCAGGGAGGAGTGAGGGCTGGAGAAATGTACGCCCCTCACCCCGCCAGCCTGCTTCATGCGC